AACAGCAAACTCTGTCTCAAAGGAAATAACTTGAAGGAACCCCGACTATAAGTCTGCATTTTCCGTGATTATAGGCATATAGTTGATGTTACATTGAGGTACCATACAGACTGAGAATATGTTGTCTTGCTTTCGACGTTTATTTCTGGACGGTGTATGCAATTACCACTCGACTCGATCGGATCAGCCTTACTTTTCAAAGCATAGATGTCTACTGCATCCCGCCGATGTATAAGGAGTGAAATTTTTGGTCGGCGAGGCGGTCCCCGACATGTCGGGTTCTTCACAAAACCGAAAGCATGTTTCAATGGAGTCATGGGCGCGTCGGTGACTTGACTTTCACAGGCTTGCGTCCCAAAACAGATCCGAAGTATCTCTCCTAGGTACGATTGATCTTCATCGTGGCGCCTCGTATACTGGTAATCTGATTAAAACTGTAGGGTAGATAGTATCCTGTCCATTGTCGGAGAAAATGACAATGAGATTTGTTGGGTGTATTCAAGTTCAGCCTACGCCGGCATATCTTTTATTTCAGCTGGAATTTTGCTGTCTATACTTAGAGGCTTTCCCCGAGCTGTTAACCACCACCCCTGGTAAGCGGCTGTTTCAAACCGGGCAAAGCTTGGGAAAATGGGTGGACAATAGCTTGATCAAGGCTTTCGGCCATAGCGAAACGAGTCGGGATTCCCTTGAGTGGTAAAGCCGCAGCATTTTGCTGGTCAAAAGCCTGGGTCGAGCCTCGATGTTATCCGTGTTTCAATTGTTTCTCTCGTATTTTGACCGGCACTAATTGGTCGTCTGAAAGGTGGATAGGTAGGTAAGTAGCATTACGCGGCAGTGAACGCCGCTCCCAGACTTCACACAATGCGTGCAGTGCACGGTCTATCTCTTCCACCGTACCCTCAGCCATTCATTACCACTACCTCTGTCTTACTGAGAACACTTTGTCTCAACAGTACTTTGCATTGTTTGAATGCATTCGAAATGGCCCAAACGGTCGGCAACCCTACTAATAAACAGCTGGACACCTGCCGACATGCGTATGCATAACTGTTTGATGCATTTAAAAATTTGGCAGCGTCTCTTCCTCACCGACCACTGCACATCGTTTTGCTAGTCCCGTACCACTAGTCTAGTAGGGTTCAGTGGGGGCTTCCACCGATGCCTGCGATAATATTGTCCGGTCAACTTCGTAACTGTCAGGAGTTAAATCTCAACAACTGAGTACTGAGTACTAAGCGGGTCCTATGTAGAACGGCGTCTATAGCTAACGGCGTCTGCGAATGCCCGAACTTGAACGAAGCTCGGTCCGGCTGGAGTCGAAGCCGGTCGAGCCGGTCACAGCACCGTCACGTTTGAGGTTTTCTCCATTTTCCCCCTTTGTGCTGGACTGCACTGTGCTGCGTGCCGTTTATTCGTCCTAAAATCCCTGGATAAGCATGTACAGTATATTCCTGTGAGTTTTCAGACAATGAGTGACGTGTCAAAAGGATAAACAAGCATTATGGGACGTATAAGCGACTCAGAACGGCGTTCTAGGGTTCTAGGACGCGGTAGCTTAACTCCGAGCTTCCCTAATGTCGCTAGCACATCATTCTTGACACTCAAAGAGTTGTAAGCTATCTTAGTACGCCAAACACGATGTCATTTCTAGCCCTTCTCATTTTCAGGACGCGCCGCAAGGTCCGATTTCTGATCTTCGTCTTTTTTCGGGGAACGCTCTGTGTCCTTGTGCTCTTTTTTTCACGGGCTTGAAACCCTGCTATTTGACAGACGTCTTGGAGACGACCCCCTCGCTCTCCGGGTCTACGACTAGTATCGCATCATGATCTCCCCCCGATGCACAGGTCCATTATTGTCTCATGTTTCCCATCGCGCCCAATCCCTGATATTCCCAGCAGTGCCATAGCGTCGGGTCAGCAAGTGGGTTCTTTGATGCGTCCTCTTTCTGTGCCTGAGTCTTACGTTACTTTCGATATTCCAGACAGTGTCGAAACGTATTCAATGTCTATTGACGCGCATTGGGAGCTTATTTCTCCGCGTTTCCATTCAAACACGGATCACTCTTTGTTATTCACCGACAGGCACAGCGCGCCCCCAATGTCATTTGGGCTGCTCAGGTCAATCTCAGCCCGGATACCTGATACGCGCCCGCTTGATAATACCTTGATTAGCCCGTAATGCTCTGTTGTTGCCTTGCTTACAGCTGAAATCCGAGGCACTTGGTTTGTATAAAAAGGTCCTTGATTCCTCTTCAATTCCCCAGCATTGGAATCGCCTATCATGTTCTCTCTTCTCTCTCTTGGAGTCGTCTTAGCTTCGCTTAAAACAGGCTTAGCAGCCATATACGATGATCCCAACCAGCTACCTACAGGCAAACAGTACGATTTCGTCGTCGTAGGAGGTGAGCAAGTGCATTTAAGACGTACCTGACGCGTTAACTTATCATTAATTAACAGCGGGGACTGCGGGGAACGTCATAGCTGCACGCCTGGCTGAGAATGCCAACACCTCTGTTCTCGTTATCGAAGCAGGGAGAAACAATGTCGGATACGATTCTGACCTCATCACTATACCATTCCTTGGTCCTCAAGCATCACCGCACACGTCCTTCGACTGGAATTATACTACGGTACCTCAGGAGCCGCTGAACAACCAACTCATTGCCTATCCTCGCGGCTATGTTTTCGGAGGGAGCAGTTCAACGAGTAAGTGTAATGATTCTTCCAGCGACGTGTTTTCTGATCTGTGAAACAGACTATATGGTATACACTCGCGGTTCTTCAGACGACTATGATCGTTTTGCTGAATTGGCTGGTGACGACGGCTGGAACTGGGATAACTTGTTTCCCTATGCTCTTAAGGTATAGATTTTATTATCCTATATTCGGGTTTTGATGCTGATACCTCCCAATAGAATGAGAGGCACGTCCCTCCTAACGATGTGAGTCTTTTGTCTCATGAAGAAGAATTCCCACTGACCAATGCTTGTACAGGGTCATAACGAAACTGGACAGTACATTCCTTCGATCCACGGGACCGACGGGCCACTGGAGACAAGTTTATACGGCTACGCCGCGGATATTGACAACCGAGTGATCGCTACAACGTCAGAACTCAGCGAAGAATTCCCATGGAACCCAGATTATAACTCTGGGAATATGCTAGGTGTTTCGTGGATGCACAGTAAGCTTTAGATGTGGAGTAAGATTAACAGTATGATTGACGTCTGATTAGGTACGATCGGTGGACCTTTGAGGAGCAGTTCTGCGACCGCGTACCTCGTACCGGCGTTGAGCAACTATTCCAATCTCGACCTAGTTTACAACAGTCAAGTCACAAGGCTGATTCAAAATGGGGAAATCGATGGTCTTCCCGTATTCACCACCGTCGAGTTTGCTAAGAATCCTACTGGTAAGTCATTCCGCTTTTCTTTTAAGCTGTGAAGTTGACGCTGCCTATGTTTAGCCCCTCGTTACAATGTTTCTGCCACACGCGAAGTCATTCTATCAGCAGGCGCCATTGGAACTCCTCAGATTCTTATGCTCTCAGGAATTGGCAGATCTCTGGACTTGACCGCCGTTGGCATCAAGCCTATTGTTGACTTGCCCGAAGTCGGCCAGAATCTGGTCGATCACCCGTTGTTGCCCATCCAGTGGAACGCAAACAGCAACGAGACTTTGGATCCTCTCTTCCGTGGTGGAGCAGCCTTCGATGCCGCTCTCGAACAATACCACGCGAACGGAACAGGTCGTCTCGCTGCTAACGGAGTATCGAATCACATGTACGTATACTTTGATAGTGAGTCTGGGTTTGATCGCTGATGAGGGCGACAGGGCTTTCTATCGTCTTCCGGAGAATTCATCCGTCCTTGCTGAGTTTGAAGATCCAACTTCTGGACCTGGGTATGTCACCTATATCATTTTACAGTGTCTGTGAGCTCAATCCAACTATAGTGCTCCTCATTATGAACATGCCTTCGCTGTCAGTGCTTCCTTCCTGTCCGCTCCTTCTATTACTAACCTCCAAACAGAATGGATTCTTCACTACGTCTCAAACTCAGCCCACCTCCGGGTCATACTTCTCCATCATCAACGTTATCGTTACACCCACTTCTCGTACGTTCTCTCTTCATCTCATAGACGGTTTGTTTAGTTAACTCTATTCAGGCGGAGCGATAACTCTTGCATCCAATGATCCTTTCCAGCACCCTACGATCGATCCCAAGATGCTCACCAGTGACTACGATGTCAGTGTCATGATCGAGAGTGTCAAGGCCGCCCAGCGTTTTGCTGCGGCACATGCTTGGGATGGGTACATCACCGGACCGTATATTGACTCGGTGAACGCTACCACAGATGACGGTATCAAGGAATACATGAGCCAATGGGCGACTACTATCAAGCATCCGTTCTGCACTGCTAGGTTAAGCAAGGAGGATGGTGAAGGAGTTGCCGATGGTCAGCTCCTGCTCAAGAAAGCTAAGGGAGTACGGATTGTTGATGCCTCAGTCTTTGTAAGTTTTGTCTTTTTTATCATTGGACCTGTCTAATGATATATTGTTGTTTAGCCCATCATTCCTGCCGGTCATCCTCAAGCGATGATTTATATCGTGGCGGAACGAGCTGCTGATGTGATCAAGGCGACATGGGGCATGTAAATGGGTCAAGTTAGTATTTAAGGTCTTGAACTCTCATTTATTCCATTTACTTGGACCATATACCACTTATCATTACACTATAGTAGTACCATACACTTTGTATAATTTTCATACATGGATCTATTGTAACCACGCATTAAATAAACAGTCTTCTGATGTCGACCCGAAGCATTTTTTTCAATCCTTTATGGTTCCTGCTTGTTAATATTTTTGTATAGAAGAAAGCAACGCATCGAATCCCCCAACCGAAGGCCATTAGTCACTATCATTGTACCACTTCAATGAAAGGTAGTCAACACGTGATCAGAACTTTCGAAGTTTGGGGGCCGGGCCGGGTCTAACTTCGGACCAGTACTACGCTTAGTTACCTGAGCTGTATCAGCAGGGGTGGCCAACCAATCCAGTTTTCCAGTTTTTACTACCACCACTGTTCATGCAGATGTCGGATTACGATTATTTCGGTCACTCCCACTGGAACGACTTCTATCAGCTACCCATCGAGGACGGTTTCATCATCGACACGTATTGGATTGACTACTTGTGGAGAATCCTCCATTTCGAAAATCCTTATTCGTATCATGCTGCCGAGAAGTTTGCATCCACAGCCATCGAGTTGATTGACCTTGTCTGGTCGCCCTCTTGTTGGGATATTCTCATCTGGCCGTAAGTAGGAAGCTTGAAAATATTTGTTTACCCTTCAGTAACCTGTACAGTTTCACCCGCCTGTATATCACGAGAGTTCTGTGCACTGTCGACACTATGCTTGACTCCAAACAACATCTCAACGATACCTGTTATGGGATCATTGGCGATATCTGTAGAGAAATCGATTCTGGTACTGGCGTTTTCAGCGCTAGTCCTCGGAAGCGATGCAAAGCAGCTGATTTTATCATTGGACGTGAGACGCAGAGGCTAGAGAGCGTGATGCATAAGCAGCTCAAGGTTAACGAGAACATAAGTCTTCTACCCGACGGGCCTGTGTGACATTTACACTTATCTCTACGTATGCTGTGCGGGGTTGTGCTTGACACTTACCCTTTTGGTGCCCGTTGCTCCGTTTTTCTTTTCCGTCTCTGAGGAGTTACCAATTCGTGTTCTTTGTTTAGTCTATCTCTTAGGCTTTCTGGCATATCAGGGTATGTGCTTCTTCATTCAAGTTGCAGTGTTTACGACCCATGTTGTTCAGGAACTCAAGCAAATGCATACTTGTCCGACATTGCCCAACATATTCACACGTTGCATATTGATATTGATACCTTGAGGTGTATATGGGCTTGGAGGGACATACGCGGGTTAATCGCCCTTATTGCTGAGTCGGAAGGTAGACAGCTATCGGACATCCCACACGCACAGAGGTTTCTGAAGGCCTTTGAAGTTTCGGTATGTCTCCCTTGCGTGAAATCTCTACTGTAATAAACTGTTCTAGTTCGCAGGCGGAGAAGTAGAACTATGGAGGACACGATCGAAGGTCCAAACTCTATCAAAATTTGCGAAGAAATTACGAGCGATGAAGGATCAGGATGTGCACGATGCCGCCACTGTCTTGTTGACGGCACGTCCCTGGTATCACAACAGTGCTCTGGACGCCTTCAGACTTGGTCGTGCTATCTTGGTCAGCCTCTATACCAAAGTCTCATTTGGTTTCTCGCGAGTCGCTATAGTGGAAAGGCGCAGAACAAATAGAAGATTCAACAAGGGATGACATTTTCGTTAGTGGACGGGAGTTTCCTATTACAATGCAGCTACCCAACAATAAATGGTCGAACGACGCGAGGAACGGCCTGACTTTGCTACTACTTTTTTGGTGTTTTGTGCTTCTCCTTGGCTGCCTTCTTTATGCATACGATACAAGTGATTTTACCCGAGATGCTAGACTTGATCCGATACTTTGAACGCTGTACCTTGATCAGAGTAGGGAGGAGAGACTACACTAGTACCGAGCAGTGAATTACATTGATTCGGTAATTCGAATCCATTTCGATGTGCAATAAGAATAACGGACGTTGATTCTCCCGACGTAGGGCCAAGTACCGGGCGGTGAAGCGAGGCCAAGAAGTATGTGACGACACAAATGAGCAATGAACTTTGCGGCAGTCTATGTTCTATGTTTGAACGAGAACTTCGGCTCTGATTGCAAATTCTACGGTATCTGGCATCTTTCTTTCCCCCCTTCTGCTATCCTTTAGTACTGCGAGACCATAATGTTCTGGTTCAGAGGCTTTCCTTCGATGGTATCAAACAATCTTCTAGTTCGATGCGCAGGGCCACTCTGCACATATTGCGAGTGTCTTCCCTCTTAGGCTGTTTTGAGCAATTATACGCTCCTTATCAATGTCTACCTGACACGATGCATTCAGCTAGGGTGTCGAATATTGTTGGGAGCTGTATGATCGCAACTTTCTTTGTACCCAAGGTTTCGCAGATAGAACATGTGCACTGTGCCGAAAGGGCTTCAGAAGTGATACGTGACGACCAATAGCCAACTGGCAGGGCTAACGGCACAGCAGTACTGCACGACGGTGACGGGAGCGCAAGTTGACTGGAAACTTCGACAAGCAAGGTACTGCCGACGGCACGACGGCCCCCAGTTAGACAAACCATTACAAAAAAAAAACACGACAGCTAAAGTATGCAACACGAAAGCAAGTAGATACACGAAAGATACGAAGAATTAGGCAAAATTAGCATCAGCCACTTTTAGGAGAAACCTCTCAATAACAGACTGTCCTCGCTGAAGATTATTCAGAGAAATACGCTCGTTCGGTAAGTGGGCTTGATCCTAAAAAAGAACAGCGGGTCAAAAATGGCACGGAGGATCAAGAACATTATTCCGCATACCGAGCTTTGGCCCAACGGCAGATGCAGCGCATGGCACCCAAATTCCTTCTCGAGGTATGGCACCGAAGGGATAGACTGCCAACGTTTATTTAGCCAGAATCTGAGCAGCAACTGCATAACACTCACCCCTCCTTCACGAATATGCAGAGGATCGACGCCCCACTCCTCCCGAACGGCTGCCTCCAGTGCTTTAAACCAATGATCATCCAGGTTCCCCAACCACCAGTCAGCCGATTTTTCCAGACTGACGTGGAATTTATTGGGCGACTGGAGACGTTCAAATGATCTGGTCAGGTAATCAAGGAGTGACCGGGAGATGGTATCTAAATCCTGGTCGGGGACTATGCGGATGGAGACCTGAGACTTGACAGTGCCAGGTATAACGGTCGAATCTGTAGGTGATTTAGCGAGATGTACTCATTAGAAGATCATGTTCTTTACTTTGTGGACCAGACACCTCAATGGTGTGTATAGTCAATGACGGCTCTCTCCATCTCGAAGACAGAGAGCTAGCAGGCTTTTTGGTGACCTCAGCGAGTCGCTTGTAATTAGATTTCTCCTCTTCGGAAGAAGGCCGAACGTGGTCGTCTTGAAAATAGTCAGACGACAATCAAGCAAAACTTAGTGGCTACTGACAGAAACCAGGTATTTGCACGCCTTTTTGTCGGTCACTCAAAGTAGCTAGTAGTTTTATCCTGTGGAGGTCAGGTGGAGAGCTAACATATGTCAGGGAAAAACATACATATCATCCATCGGTTCCACGACGCCACCTCCATCTACACCAGAGTGCAGGTCCGGAAGGGCACTCGTTATCTGTTGCGAAATCAGGATATATCGGCAAAGGATTTGTTTCAGGAACGCACCTCCAGATCACAATGGACAACACCTCTAAGCCCATACGTGATACACGGATGCTCCTCAGTGATCCACGTAGAGTTACTAATGTCAAAACATCAATGATCCATCAATATTCACACAGTAGCTTGTATACCTGACCAAAATCGCATCAATATGCCCAATAGCGTCCTACAAAAGATGAGTCTTCTTTAACAGGCGGTACTATATTCAGTCCACGAACCTTATGCATCCCGACAGCTTTCTTGAACCCTGTACTCCCACATTCCTCTTCACCCTCGATAAGAAACACAAGATCGACGGCCAGCGAACGACGACGCAGAAGGGCAGCTGCAGCACAAGCCACAGCCATTATTGGACCCTTGTTATCTGTCGCACCTCGGCCATACAGGAAGCCATTGTTACCTGTCAGAGTGAAGGGATCGGAATGCCAGCCTTCAGGTGGCGCTGCCATGACATCGTAGTGTCTGTCCAGATGAGAGCCAATTCTCGCCCAAAGCATCAACAGACGCACCCATAGAACAAGATCCTGGGCTTCGTTGCTTGAGTCTGTAAACCCTGGAACGTCCCCAATACCAGAGGGTTCGTCCCTTCGCCAGTTGGGAGCTTAACCGAAGGTCTCAATGAAAGGTTCCCGGCATCATTTACCACACTCACCAACGAAGCTCGCGCACCTAGCTGACTCAAGCATTTCCTAAGCCAGATAGCGGCTTGTCTACAGTCTTCCCTGTTTGAAAGATTACTGCTGACACTGGGAAATGAAATAAACTTGGACAGCGCATATTCCAATACGTCTAGAGAGGCAGTTTGAACATCTGGGAATAACATCTGAACTTGAAACGTACCACGTGAAGGTGCATCCGCAACGAGTGATTGCGAGCCAGAAGCCTGAAAGCTCCGGGTCTTGGGTGGAATGGCATCCCAGATCTACGAAAACGTCAGGTCTTTTCGCTGGGCAGACGCGAATGAGCGACCTTGATGTAATCATCATTTCCGCCTGTAATGAGCTTGTGAGACCCATTGCTCTGGTCATCTAATATCGAAGACAAGACAATTCCATTATGACATTTCCACGATGCGGTGCAATCGAACGAGGCGGAGTAACGCTGCAAACGCGGTTAGAATATCTTCGGAATAATCGTTCAATCGCTCACTTGTATTCGTCCATTAGCGAGGCAAACATACAGATCAGACTTAAGCAACGACATGGAAAGAATGTCTACCCCCTTGATAAACGTGAGTTTGGGCGGATATGTTGGCGCAAGAAGTACCTCTTGGACTATGATGGTCCTGACAATAGATCTAGTTTCTATGTCCAAAACCTTGACAATTCCATCTTGGCATCCTCCATAGATAGTATCTCCCTGCGTTACAAGAGCGAACACTGCACCAATAGCACACGTAAATTCGTGCTCAAGTACCGGGCCATTGGAGGTACAGCTCCAAATCTACGAACCGGAAAGTCAGTCGACAGGTAAACCCAAAGCACGTTGCTCATACCTTGATACTCTCGTCGCCGCTCCCAGAAATAAGCTTAACACCTCCAATCTCGCATTCCTCCACTATCGCAAGGCAGTATATGTACCCAAAGTGTGCAGAATCGATAACATTGCTAGCTGGGATGGATATATGCGGAGCCGTGGAAGGGTCTGACTCCAATACGGGCGTTCCGTATCCAGGCGTGCGTTTACCGGTAGGATTGTTCGCGTATATATCCGCAGGCTTCCGCTCGTACTGTGGATAGCTATCAAAGAATTTATGCACCTTTCTCGGCGTACCGCTTGGTGTGAATATGCCGGATTCGCTGGCACAGAGGGTACGTGAAGAGACGGACTCTTGTGAAGGAATCGTACGCAAATCGAGCCACTGCAGAGCGGTGTTCTGACATCCGATATAAAGTGTCTGTAGAGACGGCGACCATGCAAGAGAGAATAGATCTCCAGCACCCGTCTCAAGATATGGATCCACAACATATATCGGGTTCAGTGTCGTCGTTGACCAGATCTGCGCTGACGGTCAACCAGGAATCGCTCTGAGCGTTGGCAACGTACCCTGACGGTGCTGTCGCCTGCAACTACGGTTATTGAAATCCTTTGAGAACAGCAAGTGACGCACCTGAAGAACTGAACAACCATTCTTTTTCTGCAGCATACACCAACGCCAACACGCTCCCTGTATGGCCCCGCAGCGTATCCTTCAATCTATACGTTCGCTTATCCCACACCTGAAAGGCAAAGCCAATCAGTCACTCAAACAGCGCACCCAGCGGCCCTCAGCGTACCGATATGTCCTGATTCTGGCTCCCGGAGAAGATATAGTCATCGCTAGCCGCAAGGCTCAGTACCGAGCTGTTGGTCTCATGCAGGGAATGGACAAGGCGGGGTAACACTCCATCAGAAATTTCGCGACTCAAAGAGGCTAGAATGGATCAGCCGGAGTTTGCAATACCCTGCAATGACGGCTTACGGTCAAGAATGGGGGACACTGGTGCCGTGCCATACATCGAGGAGAGAGAAAAAGTGAGGATGTCCCTGCCGTCGTGAACGGTATTAAGCAAGTTTTCGTCCGAACAATCACTATGACTATATGTCCCGCCGCAAATGGCGCTATGCTTGTCTTTTATTATTAAAATGGTGTCAATACGGGGAAATTTATTCCCTTATGTACTCGACGCGATATATGGAACGGACTACGGGAAATCACTTCAGGACAGGTGAGGCAACAAGCGTTTTCGGGAATATTGTTGGCACCAAAGGAATACACCTTAGAATAGGATGCCAGAGCCATAGGTCCCGAGAGTGTTATCCACATTGAATACACGAGTGAGATCTTCATCTGGACAGTCCGGATGGGAGGTAATCAGTCTCGGGAGGACGGAGAAGTGATGGGTGAGACGAAAGTTAGTCAAACTGTGGCTGAGGGCCAAGGGAATTGCTTTGATAGAGCTCAGAAATTGCCTGGAAATGTGTACGATTTCGAATTTTCTATCAGCCGTCACTTCGCTGAGAGGTGGCATGCTACCTCGTACGCAAACCCACTCTAAGAATGCCAATCTAAATCGACAAGCGTCGTGGATTCAGTATCAACCGGCTTGGCCTTCAGAGCCTCGTCTCTTCTCACTCGCAACGCCCATTCATACGCCTTGCACACGTACTTCACATATGCAATCCCTTTCACGTCCCCAGTTGCAACAAGCCGGCTGTGTAGCACATCGACATCTCTGAACATCACAAGCGGAGGAACATGGCTATCCGGGACCTCCGCAGCTGAGGTCATACGAATAAGCGGTCGCGAGCCGGTAAGGACTGTTCTCGTGGACCTCATCCCAGGCTTTGCTGGCTGGTGCCGCAAAGCCGAAGGCGGGTATTTTGCCGCAAATGCCCGCAGTTGATCCAAGGCTTTATCCAGGTTCTTCGTCCTACAGATCAAAGTTTAGCACGAGCCAAAAAAAGGGGGGGAACAAAACCTACAAGGCAAGTAGTCGGATATACGCAACGTGGATTTTCTCCACCGTCCGTGCATCTGCAGTCCCACCGGATGCTTCATACTCTTGCCACATCTTGAATATCTCACTACCAAACTCGAGAGCAAACTGCCGTTCCTTCTGGTGCGAATACAAGCATCGCTCCAGCGCCTCACGGAACGTCCGAGCATTGCGATCCATCTTGAGTTCCACAAAGAGGTCCAAGAACTGCCTCCGAGCTGCCTCCAACGTCCCGTGCTTGTAGTGTACCGAGAGATACGAATTCAGTAACCGGGTCGACAGCTCGACGTTGCTGAAACCAATTGTTGGATCGAAAGTAGATCCACCGTCCTCCAATATACGCCCGAATAGTATCTCAGCTTCAGCAATAACCTCCGCACGACTCTGAGGAGCGACATGGGCGAAACTAGGGGAACTAGGGGGTGCAGTTATGTTGGAGCTCTCTCGATGGGCCGATGCAGAATCATCTGATGCTGGTGCCTCTTGGCTCGAGTCAAGTAGTAACGCGATACCCCGCTTGAACGGCGGATCATACGCCGCGTATGCATGGAAGACGTGCATCATGACTTCTTCGTCAATAGAAACACCCAAAGAGGGCTCCTCTACACTGACTCGGCTGATCTGTGCAAGGATCCACCGTGTCCTCGAAAGGTCTCCAATCCTCTTCGCACCTTCCAATAGGGCAAGGAACGTATGTTGGTCGGGCACGTACAATAACTCCCCATGCGCGTCTCGATGAGAGTCTAACATCTCCTTGGCCAGGCGGAAAGCTTCATGGACGTACTTCTTGTCACCCGTCCGCGCACAAGTTAGGATGACAGCATTGTACGACGCAACTGTAGGCGCTATGCTATTGTCGATCGTCATCTCAGTCCAGAGATCTAGAGCGCGCTCGGGTTCCGAAGCTCGAACAGTGAAGAATGACGACGCGCAGGCTCGGATCATTGCAGTGTAGAGAAAAGCGTCTGGGACAGGATGAGCAACATAACGCATGTGGTAGAACAGGTCCCATGCTTGGGCGTGGGCCATCGAGTCCTTCACAGAAAACATATGTGTGACAAGGTTTGTGTACGTCTTCTGTGCAGGCATGTTGAGCTGTTCCTCATAAGCATGAAGCACAGCAAGTGCTGATGTTGGCATGGCATTTGGAGATGCTCGGAGATGTGAACGAATATGAAGATGCTGCTGTCGGTCGGAAGGGGCACCTGGAAGACGTACATTAGCTTCTGAATAGTGGAAGACAGCTATAGGCTACAAACCAAGTACAAAGCTTGTCAGAATGCGCTCCGTTTCCGAAACATCACCCTTGTCGGCGTAGAACTTGACCACTTCGTTAATCGACTCTTCGGGTAGAATGATACCAGTACGCTGTCGAAGTAAGGATCTTGAAACGTGATACAGGTCGTAAACTCACCTTCATGAGTCGCAGCGAACGTTCCGCGGATTCTAAATCATTTTCATGAATCTATAAATCATCTGAGTACTACTTGGCACTAACAGAAGGATAGACACGTACACATGTGCGAATCAAAGCGTTCCATTCCTGTATAGATAGCGTGACTATGGGAATTCGAGGAGCTTCATCGCCTTGGAGCACTAGATCCATCAGCTTTCCGACTTGGTCAAGAATACGGCGATGAGTTGCATATTGAAGCCAAGGGGTCTTCGATGACTGGGGGTCCAAGTGTTCCTCCAGTGTCTGTTCGCGAAGACGTTCGTAGACTGCTTCAATCAGCTCGACGTCCCCCTTGGATCGTTGTTCCAACATCGGGCCTTCTTGCTGACGTTCCATTTCGGTTTCGGGTCCCGCAAGAATGTCTTCATAGAGTGACAGCAGCTCTTCTTCGCTAAAGGTGGGATGGTCGGCCGATTCTTCCTAAAAGAATAACAGCCCTTCAACGAATCATCCCGAACTCGTAGATTCAAAGACGCGCACCTCTTTTTGAGCAACTTGCAACAATGCATCTACACGACGCGCCAACTCGGTTTTGGGACGTTCGGCAGCAGCCTTCCCTTCCCGAACCTTCAGATGCCCGACGCCTTTTGGCTTGTTATTACCCTGAGAAGGTTTGACGAGTGTTTGCTTTCCTTTGAGGTGAGGATAGAGGGTGATTGGTGATGCATCCGAAGCGAGTACGGCCTGTTGCATCGTACGAACGCCATTTCTTCGGGGCCATGTTCGAGCGGTCACGACTTCCGAGCCCAGGATACTACCGCGATGTGTAAGGCGTGCTAAAGTGAGCTCTAGAAGGGCGGGTGGAAGCATAGATGACAGGGAAATATGATAAGGACTGGCTGGAATTTTTTACAGCAACCAGGCCTTTTCGTAAAGAGATAAGTACGGAACGACGCGAGTGGGTCAAAAAAAGAGGTATATTGTATGTCATTGTTTGCTATATGCCGGTGATACGGTCCGGCATAACCGCCATCACCTACTACACGACGCTTGAGGATGTCCTCCTGCTCTAGGCCTGCCGGAACGCCTTCGATGAATGGATGAACTGGTAGAATCCAGAGTAGTAGCCAAGAGTATACCTTGCTCTGCCATTGAATACATGACTCTGATAAGAATCTGTGTGCACTAGGATTAATTGCCATTTTTTACGTTCATTTACGATAAGAGGAGCCTAATGAGATTTGTCTTCTGCATGAAATGAAGTTATTCTGTGAAAACGTGACAGAGAACTTTTACGCGTATTGCATCTACTCAGTAGTATTGTGCTCATTTCTTTGTTTCGACTCCTTCAAATACTTCTTCCATATCCGCTGCCCTTTTGGACAATCTGTCCGTACGTGCTCGATGAGGTCCGGAATCGTATAAACTGTATCATATCGGCGGTATACTTCATAGTAGCCTTCGTCATCATAGGTGCCGTCCGAGTGAAACGCCCGTTGACAACCTAAGCAGGAGAGCCCGTCATTGTCAATCTGTCCCGAGCGTCTGTTAAAATAAGGCAGAGGGGCGGCTACCATCCACCGAGCATGAAGCTTCTTGTCTGTAATGACCCGCCGGGACATGTAAGACTCGTATGCTTCTCTGCGTTGGGCTGTGGAGTTGATGCGAGCCATGAGCTGTGCCTCGCCTCCTGCATCTTCGACTGCCACTGCGCGAACTTTCGTGAAGCTCAGAAGACGCCGGAAGTCCAGGTATTCACCCCAACCACTTTCAGAGCAAACGGTGGGTAGACCCGCTAACGTAGCTGCTGATACTCCAAACACCTTGGTTGCCGCATACTCGTTGATGGGAAGGAGTTCGGGTGAACGAAGACAGGGCATACAGCATCGTCGACACTCGAGGAGCCAGATCAGGGAACCAGAACTACCACATGAGAAACACGAGGAACTGCGGCAAAGAGCATTGTAGAGGTCCTCGAGGGTGAAAAAAGAGCCAGCTTGTGTTCGAAGCATTGCTGCGAGTGCATCGGGGGCATAATGGGAGACGCGTTGGAAAGCAAGTGATTCATCGACGGCGTTGCGGGCACCTCTGTTGACGGGTGAAAAGGATGCGACAGTGTTCTGGATATCGCAGCATGTGGAAATGATGTTGTCCAGGAGCTCGCTCAGAAGAATAGCGAGCTTCCCTAGTATGGTACTAGATTCTTGGCTACCATGCGCGTAAAAGGGCCACGACCTAGGATGACTTCCTTAAAGACTCGTGGGTATCCGACAACCTTTCCATCGTAAGGCGTCGTTCTGCCATGGCGTGAGAGTAGAAAGGATTGCGTTGTATACGTCTATTTGCCATTGGCAGTTGCCTCAAATTCGCCCTCCGTTACCGTGATGTGACGACCTGAAAAGGAAGTCACGCAATGAGCTGGTTCGGCTGAGGCGCTATCCACGTGGATTCGGTCCTCCACACGTGCAAGCCACTCATTAATGTTCAAAATTTTGACTTAGTAGGAATTATAACAATGCTGAATTTAGGATGAATTTTTACCAATTTACAGAAGATTTAAATCATATACAACAGGACTTGTAGTAAAAAGTAAGAGTATTTATTCAACCTAGCTAAGATATACTATCTATAAGCAAAGGGGCATCACCCTTGTTGAACAAGATCACCCCCTGGTTGACGGTGTGATGGAGGTACGGGAGGCGGCGGCGTGTAAACGTTGCAGAGCGCATGTTGGCGCGCTGGACTGGGACTGGCCCGACTTGATTGGCTTCGTGAATCGTGATCCTGAGGAGGAAGTCGGCGGTCCTGGAAGGGGCTGGCTGGGGCTGGCGTGCGCAGTGACGGAGCAGAATCGCAGGATGGTGGAAAGTGGCAGACATGGTCAAGACGAGCTGACTCGTGGCACGCGTAGGCTCAAGTGCCATTATCCTCTTTTGGGATTCACGTGGTGGCTGTACGAAGGGCGAATTTTCAAAAACTTTCATTGACTGGTAAATGACCACGTGGCAAACCCCTGCCAAATTTGCATCACTGTTCGATTTTTCACGGGGTCAGCAGTAGCGCTAAAATTCCCAAAAAATCACTAAAAATCCATAATATCTATGTCTCCGATTATGCAACACTGTCAGGCAGCGGAACTGGGGAGAAGGAGGCTAAATCAACTGTTTCAGTGACTGATGGTGTTGCAATGACCTGTCAATAACTGTAGTAATTTTTGGTCATAGGCGATCATCCGGCACAAAACGGCTTATTTGCCGAGCGGTTGCTGCTGTGGCTGAGAAGTCTTTCTTTCTGAACACTTCCTATTGGTTTGCGGGCTGGTCGGAAAACTGTCGACATCAATTTCCTCTTCATTTCCTCTCACCTACTGTCACCTTTTTTTTGCTTGCACGTCGCAAGTGATTCCTGCATTCACTGTCCTTTTTCTGCTCTGTGACTGCAGATGCCCTCAACTACTATCTGTTCTACAGCCCCACTCAGCGGGTTAATAAAAATCTTGCAAAAATCTGCCTCAGTGCTATCGCTCTGGTAACGCATTGTGGTATTATGCATCTGCTTCTCTTCAACGGGGTTTCCTGTTACATCATGTAGATTTGATATAGCGAGAATTCAGTGTTGATGCGAACCTGCAAATCAGAACATTTTGCTACAGCAAGTAATGTGTACAGCTGATTGTTGTGTCTGGTTTTCAGGAAGTGCATACCCGTTCACGGTCAGATTTTTACTGTCATGTAACAGTTTGATGAATGTTGTGATGTGTTCATTGTGGACTAATCGACCTTGTGATGGCACGAGGTGCGCAGTACTAGAGATAATATTTCGTTTCTTGAGACGGTGCCAGGTGCATAGGGCATATAATTATAAGATGCCGTTCAGATGCCCACCAACTTGTGATCTCTAGCATACTAGATGGCAGACTGAGTTACGTTCACCTTCCTCAGGGCCTCTAGTGTGAAATAACAATTTTGAATTCATCAATGAGTTCAATTTTAATGCCAGAAATTTTATCATTCTTTGCAATCTTAGTATAGGTCGTCGAATGGAGCGCACTCAGGTGATTAGATTTAGACTGTGCAAAATGCGAGCTTTTTGCACTACCACTTTATTGAGCAGCTTGAACAAGCAGATATATACATGTACATGCCGTTTCTTCGCCCAAGGGAAAGAATCGGGGACCCGGCAACTGCCGCTACTGGATAGAGTATTGCAACTTGCTTCTTTACCACCGTGACCTTGGATCCTTACAGCCCTCTTTCTTACCAGTGCGTCGCTTTTCAGTGCGCTACTAAGTACAAACTGAACTTTTTTCCAGTGTGCATCCAAGAAACCGTCATCTACACTTGCGGCTGTAAACACGCCGGCATAAATTTCCAGCAATGCGCTAAACAAGAAGGCACAAATTGGCGATGCGAGACCATCAAAAACAAACACTTGAACGTCGATAACCACTGCCTGAAACACTCCGTGCCAAAGGCTGCTTGAGGTCAGTTTCCTTTCTTTATGCAGAATCGAGGCTCAACGTTCAACGTTCAACGCTCAGCGCTCGCGTCATCTAGAACTCGCCTTTTCTTGTACTTCTCGGTCTTCTCGCCCTTTTCTCTGTGGACGATACTAGCATATGTCCTGTCTCTTTCGATCCTGCCTGGCATTTTCTCTCATTCCAACCCCTGTATCGTCTTGGGACGCGCGTACGAATCTCTATATAGCTCCCACTTCTCTTCTACTCATAGTTCTGTGGCCCTGGTGTATCGTCTACTTGTGATGAATGTATAAGCGAAGAATCTATATCCCTCTCCGACCGACAGCATAATGATATATTCAGCGTTCAGACTTTCGGTGCGAAATATCTATGTGTTTCGATATCGTGATCGAAATGCAGCCAGTATATTTGTTCAGGCTTGTGGCGACGTGCTTGTTTCGTCACCGTCACCACCAGCTCATTTTCGAAGCGTCTACCATCACCAGTGCGCTGCTTGACATGACCTCGCTGTATGCCAACTGACCTTCCGCTGTTCCCAGTGTGCACCCAGCAAATCTTGAAATACACTTGCGGCTGCAAACACGACGGCGTATTCCAGCAATGTGCAGAAAGAGCGGGCACACACGTACGATGCGAGGAAATCACTCACGAAATCGACAACATCGAGAATTACTGCAAAGAACACACCGTCTCGTCGACGAAATGAAAAAGGCGGCTTTTTGAGGTCAGTCTCACCTTATTTTTGTACAGAAGCTGATCAGAGAGCTCACTATTCATGTCGTCCAGAATCTGCTTTCCTTCTTGTGTCACCTGGATTTCTCGGTACCCACTCTCAACGGATCCAGTATTTCGAAACCTCTTTTTGGACGATACTAGCATATACTCAGCCCCTTTCTGTCCTCTCTTCCTAGCGCTAAGAATTCGAATCGAGCCCTTTCCCTTTTCACACGCATGCTATGTTGTCTCTCCCCTCTACTCCAGAATCCAGTGTTTCCTTTGTATAAATGGCATCTAGTTGTGAAAATGACGAAGCGCTTCGCTAGTTGTCCCTGTGACTTCTGAATCAATTCATCCACTACAGTATATATTTTTGGGGGACTACGCATATCCTACACTGCTGCTCTCTGTTAGGCCCAGGCCATATACTGAAACTATCGACTCTTTGTGCTCGAAACAGAATTCCCGTTTCCTTGTTTTGACTTCTTCAAATGTCTCTTCCATATCCTCTTCCCCTCCGGGCAGTCTGTCTGAACATGTTCTATAAGTCCCTTGCGAGTATATACCGTATCATATCGGCGAAAATTGTCATCATCGTCCACTTCATCACTGTCGGAATCCCATCTGTCTCCAGACACCAGGTTTATACAGCCTTTGCAGGAGAAACCTTTGACGATCTTTCCCGAACGTCTGTTGAAATACGGTAGAGAGGCAGCTACCATGTAACGAGAGACATTCTCAGGCCAGGGTATCATGGTATTCTCGGCGATGAAAGATTTGTACGCTTCTTTGCGTAGAGGAACGGAGTTGATTCGAGCCATAAACTGCGCTTCCCCTCCAGCATCTTCAACTGCTACTGCACGAGCATGAGAAAAGCTTAGCAGACACTGGGAATCCTGATAATATCTGTGTAGCCAGCCGTATTGGCCGGGCACAGTGCAAACTGCAGGCACGCTCGCTAATACGGCTTCAGATACTCCAAACGCCGTAGTTGCCATAGACAGGGATATGGGAAGGAGCTCGGGTGCCGTATAGAGACATGGCATGCAGCATCGTCGGCACTCGGGGAGCCAGAGAAGGGGGCCAAAATTGCCGCATAAGCTGCAGGAAGAATCTCTGCAGAGAACATCACAAAGGTCTTCGAGAGTGAAAAACGAACCGGCCCGTGTTCTGAGCATTGCTATGAGTGCACGGGGAGCGTAACGGGAGACACGCTGGAAGGCGAGCGATGCATTGATGGCCATCCTGGCACCCCTATTGACGAGTGAGAAGGATGTAACGATAGTTTGGATGTCGCAGCAGTCGGAGATGATCATGTCCAGGATCTCGTTGGGGAGGGCCCTGAGCCTTCCAAGTGATGCAACGGGATTATTGACTACCGTGCGCTCTAACCGACCAGGACTTGGGATGACGGATTTCGAGAAGATACGTGGGAATCCCACAATGTTGACCATCGCAAGGCGTTGTTCTGCCATGGTTCTGTTGAGATGCTCAAGGAGGCCTTCCGAGAACCTGTTTTTATGTGATGATAAATGTCTGAGACCGAGGTTCCTTCCCTGAGGCGGTGCCCAAACTTTGAGTATGATCGACTATCATCGAGTTTCGATTTCAAACGAGGAAGGAAGAAATTATAGACAGACCGACGACGCCCTATAGTTCCTACTGGGAAGACGAGGACGGAAGAACGTCCAGGTACGCGTACCAAATCTGCCAAGAGATGCATAGATTGCACCTTTTTAAACAAGTGGTTCGGGCTCTTAGTGTCCTCTCTTTGCTACACAGTCATTGTTCCCCTTGGTTATGAACTGAACAAGACTCAAGGTACAGCGGTCAAAGTATCGGATAAGTCCAGCATCTCGAGTAAAACCACCTGTACCATATGCATAAAGAAGGCAGCCGAGAAGCGCAAAGCACCAAAAAACGTAGTAGTAAAGTCAGGCCGTCCCTCGCGTCATTCCACCACGTATCGTTGGGTAACCGCATTGCACTTGTACAAGAAAAAGCCCATCCACTATAGAGAACACCATCGCTTGTTGGGTCTTCTATTTGTTCCGCACCTGTCCGCTCCGGTATAGCGACTCGCGAAATACCAAATGAGAGACTTTCGTATAGAGGCTGACCAAGATAGCACGACCAAGTCTGAAGGCGTCCAGAACACTGTTGTGATACCAGAGACATGCCGTTGACAAGACAGTGGCGGCATCGTACGCATCCTGATCCTTCATCGCTCGTATTTTCTTCGCGAATTTTGATAGAGTTTGGACCTTCGATCGTGTCTTCCATAGTTCTACTTCTCCGCCTGCGAACTAGAACAGTTTACTACAGTAGATATTTCACGCAAGGGAGACATACCGAAACTTCGAAGGCTTTCAGGAAACCTCTGTGCACGCGGAATGTCCGATAGCTGTGTACTTTCCGACTCAGCGATAAGGGCGAATAACCCGCTCATGTCCCTCCAAGCCCATACACACCTCAAGGTATCCCTACGTAACCTGTTAATATGGGTGACAATGTTGGACAAGTATGCATTTGCTTGTGTTTCTGAACAACATGGGTCGTAAACACTGCAACTTGAATGAATAAGCACATACCCTGATATGCCAGAAAGCCTAAGAGATAGACTAAGCAAAGCACACGAATTGACAACTCAGAGATGGAAAAGAAAAACGGAGCAATGGGCACCGAAAGGGTAAGTGTCAAGCACAACCCCGCACAGCATACGTAGAGATAGGCGTAAATGTCACACAGGCCTGTCGGGTAGAAGACCTGTACCACCGTTAGCACAAAAAAACGTGATTATGTTCCCAATAACCTTGCAGCTGCTTATGCATTACGCTCCTCTAGCCTCTGCGTCTCACGTCCGATGATCAAATTAGCTGCTTTGCATCGTTTCCGAAGACTAGCGCTGAAAACCCCAGTACCAGAATCGATTTCTCTAGAGATAGTCGCCAATGAGACCGTAGCAGGTATCGTTGAGATGTAGTTTGGAGTCAAGCATAGTGTCGACAGTGCACAGAACTCTCGTGATATACTGGGCGGGGTGAAACTGTTACAGGTTACTGAAGGGTAAACAAGTATTATCAAGCTTCTACTTACGGCCAGATGAGAATATCCCAACAAGAGGGCGGCCGAGACAAGATCAATCAACTCGATGGCTGTGGAATGCAAACTTCTCGGCAGCATGATACGAATAAGGACTTTCGAAATGGAGGATTCTCCACGAGTAGTCAATCCAATACGTGTCAATGATGAAACCGTCCTCGATGGGTAGCTGATAGAAGTCGTTCCAGTGAGAGTGGCCGAAATAATCGTAATCCGACATCTGCATGAAAATTCGCAAGAACGATGGTGGTACTGGTCCGAACATCGAAAATTATGATCACGTGTTGACTACCTTTCGTAAAAGTTCAAGTTGTTGTGCAATGATAGTAACTAGTGGCCTTCGGCTGACGGATTCGATACGTTGCTTTGTTCTATACGAAAATATTAACAGGTGGAGAACCATGAAGTATTGAAAAAAAGGCTTCGAGTCAATATCAGAAGGCTGTTTATTTAATGCGTGATTACAATTCATCCATGTATAAAAATTACACAAAGTGTAGGGTACTAATATAGAGTAACGATAAGTAGTATACGGTTCAAGTGAATGAATAAATGAGGGATTCAAGACCTTAAACACTAACTTCACCGATTTACATGCCCCATGTCGTCTTGATCACATCAGCAGCACGTTCGGCCACAATATAAATCATGGCTAGAGGATGACCGGCAGGAATGATGGGCTAAACAGCAATATATCATCAGACATGTCCAATGATAAAATGATAAAACTTACAAAGACCGAGGCATCAACAATCCGGACTCCCTTAGCCTTCTTGAGAAGGAGCTGACCAGTCAGCAACTCCTTCACCATCCTCCTTGCTTAATCCTAGCAGTGCAGAACGGGATGCTTGATAGTAGTCGCCCATTGGCTCATGTACTCCTTGATACCGTCATCTGTGGTAGCGTTCACCGAGTCGATATACGGTCCAGTGATGTACCCATCCCAAGCATGTGCCGCAGCAAAAGCGTTGGGCGGCCTTGACACTCTCGATCATGACACTGACATCATAGTCGCTAGTGAGCAGCTTGGGATCGATCGTAGGGTGCTGGAAAGGATCATTGGACGCAAGAGTTATGGCTCCGCCTGAATAGAGTTAACTAAACAAACCGTCTACTGAGATGAAGAGGAAACGTACGAGAAGTAGGTGTAACGACAATGTTGATGATAGAGAAGTATGACCCGGAGGTGGGCTGAGTTTGAGACGTAGTGAAGAATCCATTCTGTTTGGAGTTTAGTAAAAGAAGGAACGGACATGATGGGAGCACTGACAGCGAAGGCATGCTCGTAATGAGGAGCACTATGGTTCGATTGAGCTCACAGACACTGTAAAAACGATATAGGTGGCATACCCAGGTCCAGAAGTCGGGTCTTCAAACTCAGCAAGGACTGATGAATTCTCCGGAAGACGATAGAAAGCCCTGTCGCCCTCATAAGCGATCAAACCCAGACTCACTATCAAAGAATACGTACATGTGATTCGATACTCCGTTAGCAGCGAGACGACCTGTTCCGTTTGCGTGGTATTGTTCGAGGGCGGCATCAAAGGCTGCTCCACCACGGCCGAGAGGATCCAAAGTCTCATTGCTGTTTGCGTTCCACTGGATGGGCAACAACGGGTGATCAACCAGATTCTGGCCCACCTCAGGCAAGTCAACAATAGGATTGATGCCAACAGCGGCCAAGTCCAGAGATCTGCCAATTCCCGAGAGCATAAGAATCTGGGGAGTTCCAATGGCGCCTGCTGATAGAATGACTTCGCGTGTGGCAGAAACATTGTAACGAGGGGCTGAACACAGACCATGTCAATACCACAGCCTAAGAGAAATGGGGGATGACGTACCAGTAGGATTCTTAGCAAACTCGACGGTGGTGAATACGGGAAGACCATCGATTTCACCATTTTGAATCAGCCTTGTGACTTGACTGTTGTAAACTAGGTCGAGATTAGAATAGTTGCTCAACGCGGGTACGAGGTACGCGGTCGCAGAACTGCTCCTCAGAGGTCCACCGATCGTACCTAATCAGGCGTCAATCATACTCTTAATCTTATTCCAGATCGGAAGCTTACTGTGCATCCACGAAACGCCTAGCATATTTCCAGAGTTATAATCTGGGTTCCATGGGAATTCTTCGCTGAGTTCTGACGTTGTAGCGATCACTCGGTTGTCGATATCCGCCGCGTAGCCATATAAACTTGTCTCCAGTGGCCCGTTGGTCCCGTGGATTGAAGGAATGTACTGTCCAGTTTCGTTATGACCCTGTACAAGGATTGGTCAGTGAGATTTCTTCTTCATGAGACAAAAACTCACATCGTTAGGAGGAACGTGCCTCTCATTCTATTGGGAGGTATCAGCATCAAAACTCGAATATAAGATAGTAAAATCCATACCTTAAGAGCATAGGGGAACAAGTTATCCCAGTTCCAGCCGTCGTCACCAGCCAATTCAGCAAAACGATCATAGTCGTCTGAAGAACCGCGGGTGTATACCATATAGTCTGTTTCACAGATCAGAAAAGACGTCGTTACAATAATCATCATACTTACTCGTTGAACTGCTGCCTCCAAGAACATAACCGCGAGGATAGGCAATGAGTTGGTTGTTCAGCGGCTCCTGAGGTACCGTAGTATAATTCCAATCAAAGGTTGTGTGCGGCGATGCTTGAGGACCAAGGAATGGTATGGTGATGAGGTCAGAATCGTATCCGACATTGTTTCTCCCTGCTTCGATAACGAGAACAGAGGTATTGGCATTCTCAGCCAGGCGTGCAGCTATGACGTTTCCCGCCGTCCCCGCTGTTAATCAATGATAAGTTAACGCGTCAGGTACGTCTCGAATGCACTTGCTCACCTCCTACGACGACGAAATCGTACTGCTTGTCTGTAGACAGCTGGCTGGGATCATCGTATACGGCTGCTAAGCCTGTTTTGAGCGAAGCTAAGGCGATTCCGAGAGAGAGAAGAGAGAACATGATAGGTGATTCCAATGCTGGGGAATTGAAGAGGAATCAAGGACCTTTTTATACAAACCAGGCGCCTCGTTTTCAGCTGTAAGCAAGGCATTGTCGGCTAAGCATCCAGACACTATCCTGCGGGCGCGTATCAGGTATCTGGGCTGAGATTGGCCTGAGTAGCCAAAATGACATTGACGGCGTGCTGTGCCAGTCGATGAATAATAAAGAGTGATCCGTGTTTGAATGGAAATGCGGAGAAATAAGGCCTCAACCCGCGTGAATGAGACATTGGATAGGTTTCGACACTGTCTGGAATGTCGAAAGTAACGTAAGACTCAGGCACGCAAAGAGGACGCATCAAAGAACCCACTTGCTGACTTGACCCTAGCGCATATCCGGGTTTGGGCGCCATAGAAAACGTGAGACAATAATGGAGCTGTGCATCGGGGGGAAATCATTCGAGAAAGGTGACGCGATAGTCGTAGACCCGGCGAGCGAAGGGGTAGTCTCTAAGATGTCTGTCAAAGAGCAGGGTTTCAAGCCCGTGAAAAAAGAGCACAAGGACACAGAGCGTTCCCCGAAAAAAGATGAAGATCGGAAATCGGAACTTGCAGCGCTTCCTGAAAATAATGAAGGGCTAGAAATGACGTCATATTTGGCGTGTTAGGATAGCTTACAACTCTTTGAGTGTTGATCAAGAATGATGCGCTACTAGCGGCATTAGGGAAGCTCAAAGTTGAGCGAACTTGAACGTGTCCTGGAACCCTAGAACGGCCGCGTTCTGAGTCGCTTATACGTACGTCCCATAATGCCCGTTTATCCTTTTGACATCTCAATAATTGTCTGAAAACCACGCGATTGGATTAAAACTCACAGGATTATACTGTACATACTGATCTAGGGATCTTAGGATGAATAAAAGGGACGCGGAACAGCACAAAGGGGGAAATGGAAAGACCTCAAACGCGACGGTGCTGTGACGGGCTTCGGCTTTAACATGAGCCGGACTGAGCTTCGTTCGGGCCGCATTCGCGAACGCCGTTAGACGCCGTTCTACATAGGACGCGCTTAGTACTTAGTACTTAGTTGTTGAGATTTAACTCCTAACAGTACGAATTTGACCGGACAATATTATCGCAGGCATCAGTGGAAGCCCCCACTGAACCCTACTAGACTCGGAGTCACCACGTTCGTATCAACAATAACACCTACCATCGTTTTGACATGGTACGGGACTAGCAAAACGATGTGCACAGTAGTCGGTGAGGAAGAGATGCTGCCAAAATTTTAAATGCATCAAATGGTTATGCATACGCATGTCAGCAGGTGTCCAGCTGTTTATTAGTAGGGTTGCCGACCGTTTGGGCCATTTCGAATGCATTCAAACAATGCTAACTACTGTTGAGACAAAGTGTTCTTAGTAGGACACAGGTAGTGGTAGTGAATGGCTGAGGGTACAGTAGAAGAGATTGACCGTGCACTGCACGCATTGTGTGAAGTCTGGGAGCGGCGTTCACTGTGTGGACACTGCCGCGTAATGCTACTTACCTACCCACCTTTCAGACGACTAATTAGTGCCGGTCAAAATACGAGGGAAACAATTGAAACACGGATAACATCGAGGCTCGGCCCAGGCATTTGACCAGCAAAATGCTGCCGCTTTATCATTCAAGGGAATCCTGACTCGTTTCGCTATGGCCGAAAGCCTTGATCAAGCTATTGTCCACCCATTTTCCCAAGCTTCGCCCGGTTTGAAACAGCCCGCTTACCAGGGGTGGTGGTTAACAGCTCGGGGAAAGCCTCTAAGTATAGACAGCAAAATTCCAGCTGAAATAAAAGATATGCCGGCGTAGGCTGAACTTGAATACACCCAACAAATCTCATTGTCATTTTCTCCGACAATGGACAGGATACTATCTACCACAGTCTTAATCAGATTACCAGTATACGAGGCGCCACGATGAAGATCAATCGTACCTAGGAGAGATACTTCGGATCTGTTTTGGGATGCAAGCCTGTGAAAGTCAAGTCACCGACGCGCCAATGACTCCATTGAAACATGCTTTCGGTTTTGCGAAGAATCCGACATGTCGGGGACCGCCTCACCGACCAAAAATCTCGTTCCTTATACATTGGCGGGATACAGGAGACATCTATGCTTTGAAAAGTAAGGCTGATCCGATCGAGTCGAGTGGTAATTGCAGGCACCGTCCAGAAATAAACGTCGAAAGCAAGACAACATATTCTCAGTCTGTATGGTACCTCAATGTAACATCAACTATATGCCTATAATCACAGAAAATGCAGACTTATAGTCAGGGTTCCTTCAAGTTATTTCCTTTGAGACAGAATTTACTGTTGAAGAAATCTTTCTGTACCTGAACTACACGGCCATTCGAGATGTAAACGCTGCATCGTCAGGGAAGTAGCACAAGGAGCGTTGACGGATGAGCGCGATTGCTGAGGAATTAGATTCTGTGGCGTTTGCTGACAAGTGATCGCGTTCGTGTGGATTCGCGGTGACCTGCGGTGAGTTGGTGACCCACTCAAACCGGAGTCATATGATGTTCTGCTCGAAAAGGAAAGTGTTTCTCCCAACCCCAACCCATCGCTCTCTATTTGCTCCGCGTATCTCCTGCGAAGTTAGTCTCGTTACCATCCTGCATATGAAGCAAGCTGTCGATATACAGTCTGGTCCTTCTGAGTTTAAATTTGGCAGGCGGTACAGATTTCGCTTAAAAAGGCTATGATCGGGTTTCGCGTGGCATGTACAGAGCACTATTTCAATGTTCGCCACACTGTTTTTGCACCTGGGGTATCGTTATCTGTTGAAATACCCAATAAATGCACCAAGCTTGCAAAAATGTCTTTTCTTTTTACAACGTCTGGCTGCATTGTGCAAAAACACATGAGGGTAGTACCAAAAACTGTGAGATAGATGTGAATTGGGCAGAAATGAAGCCGTGGGCAACCAAGTAGATGGAACAAATAATTAATATATGCATTCTACACTGTTTCCAAGGCCCTGAGGGCTCTTATTGAGTCCGGGGAGTGTCCAACGCTCTCAGAGGGTCCGTACGAGCCACGCGAAACTTCGATCATAGCCTTTTTAGGCGAAATCTGTACCGCCTGCCAAATTTAAACTCAGAAAGCCAGGACTACTGCGAAGTGACGAAATCCACTCTATCGTTATCTTACCGGGTTTCTACAAAATAATGAGAATGGATCGAACTTTTTTTCGGCTGCCCAATATAGTAATTCCCTATCTTGGATTCCACCAAATGCATAGCACTGCGAATTATACCTTCCTGACGTATAACTGGGCTATATTCCTCCGAATTATCCATCAAAGGCTCTGATATCACCACCCGGGCCTTTGGTTTGTGATCCTCATGAATCCGCTAATCTGGTCTGTCAAATCCCAAATCAGCAGTATTTTCTTCATCACTGCAGGCTCCATTGCATGACTTGATGACACCAAAACATTGTGTACTGCTTCGGGAATCAATTTTAAACCATTTATTCTATCATTACTGTTGCTCTTGGTGTTGAGTCGCGTGTTGAAAGAAAACCGGTACCTATGAATTACTATATTGGGCAGCCGAAAAAAAGTTCGATCCATTCTCATTATTTTGTAGAAACCCACCGGTAATATAGTTACTGATCATCAAAGTAGCTCGTGCACGGCCGACTCGTTTTTCTTTTTCCACTTTCGAACATGATGATTAATGGACCGGAAATGAGTGGTGCACTGGTCCCACCTCTCTCTGGCTTGACGGGGGTACATATAAGCTGCGTCGTTGCTGATTTTCTGAGGGGCGGCTACCATCCACCGGGCGTGAAGCTTCTTGTCTGTAATGACCCGCCAGGAGATGTAAGACTCATATGCTTCTCTGCGTTGGGCTGTGGGGTTGACGCGAGCCATGAGCTGTGCCTCGTCTCCCGCATCTTCGACCGCCACTGCGCGAACTTTCGTGAAGCTCAGAAGACGCCGGAAGTCCAGGTATTCGTCCCAGCCACTTTCAGAGCAAACGACGGGTAGACCCGCTAATGTAGCTGCTGATACTCCAAACACCTTGGTTGCCGCATACTCGTTGATGGGAAGGAGTTCGGGTGAACGAAGACAGGGCATACAGCATCGTCGGCACTCGAGGAGCCAGATTAGGGGGCCAAAACCACCACATGAGAAACACGAGGAACTGCGGCAAAGAGTATCGTAGAGGTCCTCGAGGGTGAAAAAAGAGCCAGCTTGTGTTCGAAGCATTGCTGCGAGTGCATCGGGGGCATAATAGGAGACGCGTTGGAAAGCAAATGATTCATCGACGGCGTTGCGTGCACCTCTGTTGACGAGTGAAAAGGATGTGACAGTGGTCTGGATATCGCAGCATGTGGAAATGATGTTGTCCAGGAGCTCGCTAGGAAGAATAGCGAGCTTCCCTAGTGTCAGCTACTGGATTCTTGGCTACCATGCACGTAAAAGGGCTATGACCTAGGATGACTTCCTTAAAGACTCGTGGGTATCCGACGACCTTATCCATCGTAAGGCGTCGTTCTGCCATGGCGTGAGAGTAGAAAGGATGGCAGTTGTATACGTCTGTTTGTCATTTGTCAGCGGCCACTAAGTGCGCGATAGAGCATTGCAACTTGCTTGTTTACCACCGTGACCTTGGATCCTTACCAGCCCTCTTTCTTACCAGTGCGTCGCTTGTCAGTGCTATACTAAATACAAACTGAACTCTATTCCAGTGTGCACCCAAGAAATCGCCATCTATACTTGTGGCTGTAAACACGCCGGCATAAATTTCCAGCAATGTGCTAAACAAGAAGGCACAAATTGGCGATGCGAGACCATCAAAACCAAAGGCTTGAACGTCGATAACCACTGCTTGAAACACTCTGTGCCAAAGGCTGCTTGAGGTCAGTTCCTTTCTTCATGCGGAATCGAGGCTCAACGTTCAACGCTCATCGCTCAGCACTCGCGTCGTCTAGAACTCGCCTTTTCTTGTACTTCTCGGTCTTTTCTCTGTGGACAATACTAGCATATATCCTGTCTTTTTCGACCCTGCCTGGCATTTTCTCTCATTCCAACCCCTGTATCGTCTTGGGACGTGCCTACGAATTTCTATATAGTTCCCACTTCTCTTCTTCTCCTAGTTCTGCGCCCCTTGTGTATCGTCTACTTGTAATGAATGTATAAGTGAAGAATCTATGTCCCTCTCCGACCGACAGCATAATGATATATTCAATGTTCAGACTTTCGGTGCGAAATATCTATGTGGTTCGATATCGTGATCGAAAGGCAACCGGTATATTTGTTTATGCTTGTGGTGACGCGCTTTTCTCTTCACCGTCACCACCAGCTCACTTTCGAAACGTCTACCATCACCAGTGCACTGCTTGACATGACCTCGCTGTATGCCAACTGACCTTCTGCTGTTCCTAGTGTGCACCCAGCAAATCTTGAAATATACTTGTGGCTGCAAACACGACGGCGCATTCCAGCAATGTGCAGAAAGAGCGGGAACACACGTACGATGCGAGGAAATCAATGACGAAATCGAAAACATCGAGAATTACTGCAAAGAACACACCGTCTCGTCGACCAAATGAAAAAGGCGGCTTTTTGAGGTCAGTCTGACCTTATTTTTGTACAGAAGCTGGTCAGAGAGCTTACTATTCGTATCATCCAGAATATGCTTTCCTTCTAGTATCACCTGGATTTCTCGGTACCCACTCTCAGCAGATCCAGTATTTCGAAACCTCTCTTAGGACGATACTAGCATATACTCAGCCCCTTTCTGTCCTCTCTTCCTAGCGCCAAGAATTCGAATCGAGCCTTTTCCCTTTTCACACGAATGCTATGTTGTCTCTCCTCTCTACTCAAGAATCCAGTGTTTCCTTTGTATAAATGGCATTGAGTCTTGATTCCACAGAGAAATTTAGTTGTGAAAATGACGCTGGTTGTCCCATGGCTTCTGAATCCAATCATCCACTACAATATATATTTTTGGGGACTATGCATATCCTACTTTCCTTCAGACTGCTGCTCTCCGTTAGGCCAGGGCCATATACTGAAACTATCGACTCTTTGTGCTCGAAACAGAATTCCCGTTTCCTTGTTTTGACTTCTTCAAATGTCTCTTCCATATCGTCTTCCCGTCTGGGCAGTCTGTCCGAACGTGTTTAATAAGACCTTTGCGCGTATATACCGTATCATGTCGGCGCCAATTATCATCCGCTTCATCATTGTCGGACACCCACAATCTTTCCTCAGACACCAGGTTTATACAGCCTTTGCAGGAGAGGCTCTTGACAATCTTTCCCGAACGTCTGTTGAAAAACGGTAGAGAGGCAGTTACCATGTAACGAGCGACGTTCGCAGGCCAGCGCATCATGGCATTCTCGGCGATGAAAGACTTGTACGCCTCTTTGCGTAGGGGAACGGAGTTGATTCGAGCCATAAACTGTGCTTCCCCTCCCACATATTCAACTGCTACTGCACGAGCATAAGAAAAGCTTAGCAGACACTGGTAAGCCTGATAATGTTTGAATGTCCAGCCGTATCTGCCGGGCACAGTGCAAACTGTGGGAACCCTCGCAAACGCGGCTTCGGATAGTCCAAAGACTGTAGTTGCCATAGGCAGGGATATAGGAAGGTGCTCTGGTGCCGTATCGAGACAGGGCATACAGCATCATCGGCACTCGGGGAGCCAGAGAAGGGGACCAAAATTGCCGCATAAGCCACAGGAAATATCTCTACAGAGAACATCACAGAGGTCTTCGAGAGTGAAAAACGAGCCGGCATGTGTTTTGAGCATTGCTACGAGGGCACGGGGAGCATAACGGGAGACGCGCTGGAAAGCGAGCGATGCATCGACGGCCTTCCTGGTACCCTTATTGACGAGTGAGAAGGATGTGACGATAGTTTGGATACCGCAGCAGTCAGAGATGATCATGTCCAGGATCTCGTTAGGGAGGGTACCGAACCTTCCAAGTGAAGCGACTGGATTACTGACCACCATGTGCTCTAACCGACCAGGACTCGGGATGACGGATTTCAAGAAGAGACGTGGGTATCCCACAACGTTGGCCATCGCGAGGGGTTGTTCTGCCATGGTCCTGTTGAGATGCTCAAGGAGGTCTCCCGAAATCCTGTTTTTATGTGATGATCAATGTCTGAGACGGGGAGTTCTTCCCTGAGGCGGTGCCCAAACTTTGAGTATCATCGAGTTTCGATTTCAAACGGGGAAGGAAGAAATTATAGACAGACCGACGACGCCCTATAGTTCCTACTGGGAAGACGAGGACGGAAGAACGCTCAGGGACGCGTACCCAATCTGCCAGGAGATGCATAGATTGCGCCTTTTTAAACGAGTGGTTCGGGCTCTTAGTGTCCTCTCTTTGCTACACAGTCATTGTTCTCCTTAGTTATGAACTGAACAAGAATCAAGGTACAGCGGTCAAAGTGTCGGATCAAGTCCAGTATTTCAGGTAAAATCACTTGTACTGTATGCATAAAGGAAGCAGCCGAGAAGAAGCGCAAAGCACCAAAAAAAGTAGTAGCAAAGCCAGGTCGTCCCTCGCGTCACTCCACCATGTATCATTGGGTAACCACATTGCACTTGCACAAGAAAAAGCCCATCCACTATAGAAAACACCATCGCTTGTTGGGTCTTCTATTTGTTCTGCACCTGTCCGCTCCACTATAGGGACTCGCGAAATACCAAATGAGAGACTTTCGTATAGAGGCTGACCAAGATAGCACGACCAAGTCTGAAGGCGTCCAGAACACTGTTGTGATACCAGGGACATGCCGTTGACAAGACAGTGGCGGCATCGTACGCATCCTGATCCTTCATCGCTCGTATTTTCTTCGCGAATTTTGATAGAGTTTGGACCTTCGATCGTGTCTTCCATAGTTCTACTTCAACGCCTGCGAACTAGAACAGTTTACTACAGTAGATATTTCACGCAAGGGAGGCATACCGAAACTTCGAAGGCTTTCAGAAATCTCTGTGCGTGTGGGATGTCCGATAGCTGTCTACCTTCCGACTCAGCAATAAGGGCGAATAACCCACTCATGTCCCTCCAAGCCCATACACACCTCAAGGTACCCCTACGCAACCTGTAAATATGAGTGACAATGTCGGACAAGTATGCATTTGCTTGAGTTCCTGAATAACATGGGTCGTAAACACTGCAACTTGAATCAATAGGCACATACCCTGATATGCCAGAAAGCCTAAGAGATAGACTAAACAAAGGACACGAATTGATAACTCCTCAGAGACGGAAAAGAAAAGCGGAGCAACGGTCACCGAAAGGGTAAGTGTCAAGCACAACCCCGCACAGCATACGTAGAGATAGGTGTAAATGTCACACAGGCCCGTCGGGTAGAAAACCTGTACAACCATTAGCACAAAAAAACAAGTATTACGTTCTCAATAACCTTAAGCTGCTTATGCATTACGCTCTCTAGCCTCTGCGTCTCACGTCCAATGGTCAAATTGGCTGCTTTGCATCGTTTCCGAAGACTAGCGCTGAAAACCCCAGTACCAGAATCGATTTCTCTAGAGATGTCGCCAATGATCCCATAGTAGGCATCGTTGAGATGTTGTTTGGAGTCAAGCATGGTATCGATAGTGCACAGAACTCTCGTAATATACGGGCGGGTGAACCTGTTACAGTTAACTCAGAACTGAAGGGTAAACGAATATTTTCAAGCTTCCTACTTACGGCTAGATGAGAATATCCCAACAAGAGGGCGACGAGACAAGATCAGTCAACTCGATGGCTGTGGATGCAAACTTCTCGGCAGCATGATACGAATAAGGATTTTTGGAATGGAGGATTCTCCACAAGTAGTTAATCCAAAACGTGTTGATGATGGTGCCGTCCTTGATGGGTAGCTGATAGAAGTCGTTCCAGTGGGAGTGACCGAAATAATCGTAATCCGACATCTGCATGAAAATTGGCAAGAACGATGTTACTGGTCCGAAATTCGAAAGTTCTGATCACGTGTTGACTACCTTTCATCGGCTGAGGGATTCGATACGTGGCTTTCTTCTATGCAAAAATATTAACAGGTGGGGAATCATGAAGAATTGAAAAAAAGGCTTCGAGTCGACATCAGAAAGTTGTTTATTTAATGCATGATTACAATGGATCCATGTATGAAAATTACACAAAGTGTATAGTACTACTATAGAGTAACGATAAGTAGTATGCGGTCTAAGTGGATGGAATAAATGAGGGGTTAAAGACCTTAAATACTAACTTGACCGATTTACATGCCCCATGTCGCCTTGATCACATCAGCAGCACGTTCGGCCACAATATAAATCATGGCTTGGGGATGACCGGCAGGAATGATGGGCTAAACAACAGTATATCATCAGACAGGTCCAATGATAAAATGATAAAACTTACAAAGACCGAGGCATCAACAATCCGGACTCCCCTAGCCTTCTTGAGAAGGAGCTGACCGTCGGCAACACCTTCACCATCCTCCTTGCTTAACCTAGCAGTGCAGAACGGGATGCTTGATAGTAGTCGCCCATTGGCTCATGTACTCCTTGATACCGTCATCCGTGGTAGCGTTCACCGAGTCGATATACGGTCCAGTGATGTACCCATCCCAAGCATGTGCCGCAGCAAAACGTTGGGCGGCCTTGACACTCTCGATCATAACGCTGACATCGTAGTCACTGGTGAGCATCTTGGGATCGATCGTAGGGTGCTGGAAAGGATCGTTGGACGCAAGAGTTATGGCTCCGCCTGAATAGAGTTAACTAAACAAACCGTCTATGAGATGAAGAGGAAACGTACGAGAAGTAGGTGTAACGATAACGTTGATGATGGAGAAGTATGACCCGGAGGTGGGCTGAGTTTGAGACGTAGTGAAGAATCCATTCTGTTTCGAGTTTAGTAATAGAAGGAGCGGACATGAAGGAAGCACTGACAGCGAAGGCATGTTCGTAATGAGGAGCACTATGGTTCGATTGAGCTCACAGACATTGTAAAAAGATATAGGTGACATACCCAGGTCCAGAAGTTGGGTCTTCAAACTCAGCAAGGACGGATGAATTCTCCGGAAGACGGTAGAAAGCCCTGTCGTCCTCATCAGCGATCAAACCCAGACTCACTATCAAAGAATACGTACATGTTGTTCGATACTCCGTTAGCGGCGAGACGACCTGTTCCGTTTGCGTGGTATTGTTCAAGGGCGGCATCGAAGGCTGCTCCACCACGGAAGAGAGGATCCAAAGTCTCGTTGCTGTTTGCGTTCCACTGGATGGGCAACAACGGGTGATCAACCAGATTCTGGCCCACTTCCGGTAAGTCAACAATAGGATTGATGCCAACGGCGGTCAAGTCCAGAGATCTGCCAATTCCCGAGAGCATAAGAATCTGGGGAGTTCCGATGGCACCTGCTGATAGAATGACTTCGCGTGTGGCAGAAACATTGTAACGAGGGGCTGAACACAGACCATGTCAATACCACAGCCTAAGAGAAATGGGGAATGACGTACCAGTAGGATTCTTAGCAAACTCGACGGTAGTGAATACGGGAAGACCATCGATTTCGCCATTCTGAACCAGCCTTGTGACTTGACTGTTGTAAACTAGGTCGAGATTGGAATAGTTGCTCAACGCCGGTACGAGGTAGGCGGTCGCAGAACTGCTCCTCAGAGGTCCACCGATCGTACCTAATCAGGCGTCAATCATACTCTTAATCTTATTCCAGATCGGAAGCTTACTGTGCATCCACGAAACGCCTAGCATATTTCCAGAGTTATAATCTGGGTTCCATGGGAATTCTTCGCTGAGTTCTGACGTTGTAGCGATCACTCGGTTGTCGATATCCGCGGCGTAGCCATATAAACTTGTCTCCAGTGGCCCGTCGGTCCCATGCATTGAAGGAATGTACTGTCCAGTTTCGTTATGACCCTGTACAAAGATTGGTCAGTGAGATTTCTTCTTCATGAGACAAAAACTCACATCGTTAGGAGGAACGTGCTTCTCATTCTATTGGGAGGTATCAGCATCAAAACTCGAACAAAAGGTAGTAAAATCTATACCTTAAGAGCATAGGGGAACAAGTTATCCCAGTTCCAGCCGTCGTCACCAGCCAATTCAGCAAAACGATCATAGTCGTCTGAAGAACCGCGGGTGTATACCATATAGTCTGTTTCACAGATCAGAAAAGACGTCGCTGCGAGAACCATTATACTTACTCGTTGAACTGCTGCCTCCGAAAACATAGCCGCGAGGATAGGCAATGAGTTGGTTGTTCAGCGGCTCCTGAGGCACTGTAGTATAATTCCAATCAAAGGATGTGTGCGGCGATGCTTGAGGACCAAGGAATGGAATGGTGATGAGGTCAGAATCGTATCCGACATTGTTTCTCCCTGCTTCCACGACTAAAACAGAGGTGTTGGCATTCTCAGCCAGGCGTGCAGCTATTACGTTTCCCGCCGTCCCCGCTGTTAATCAATGATAAGTTAACGCGTCAGGCACGTCTCGAATGCACTTGCTCACCTCCTACGACGACGAAATCGTACTGTTTATCTGTAGGTAGCTGGCTGGGATCATCGTATACGGCTGCTAAGCCTGTTTTGAGCGAAGCTAAGGCGATTCCGAGAGAGAGAAGAGAGAACATGATAGGTGATTCCAATGCTGGGGAATTGAAGAGGAATCAAGGACCTTTTTATACAAACCAGGCGCCTCAGATTTCAGCTGTAAGCAAGGCAACAACAGAGCATTACCGGCTAAGGATCCAGACATTACCATGCGGGCGCGTATCAGGTATCCAGGCTAAGATTGGCCTGAGCAGCCCAAAAGACATTGGCGGCGCGCTGTGCCTGTCGGTGAATGATAAAGAGTGATCCACGTTTGAATGGAAACGCGGAGAAATAAGGTCCCAATGCGCGTCAATGAGACATTGAATATGTTTCGACACTGTCTGGAATATCGAAAGTAACGTAAGACTCAGGCACAGAAAGAGGACGCATCAAAGAACCCACTTGCTGACCCGACGCTAGGGCACTGCTGGGAATATCAGGGATTGGGCGCGATGGGAAACATTAGACAATAATGGACCTGTGCATCGGGGTGAAATCATGATGCGATGGTCGTAGACCCGGAGAGCGAGGGGGTAGTCTCCAAGATGTATGTCAAAGAGCAGGGTTTCATGACCTTGAAAAAAGAGCACAATGATGAATAGAGCGTTCAACCTCTGAAGAAAGACGAAAACCGGAAAACGGAACTTGCAGCGCTTCCTGAAAATAATGAAGGGCTAGAAATGACATCATATTTGGCGTGTTAAGATAGCTTACAACTCTTTGAGTGTCAAGAATGATGCGCTACTAGCGGCATTAGGGAACCTCAAAGTTGAGCGAACTTGAACGCGTCCTAGAACCCTAGAACGGCCGCGTTCTGAGTCGCTTATACGTCCCATAAGGCCTGTTTATCCTTTTGACACGTCAATAATTGTCTGAAAACCACACGATTGGATTAAAACTCACAGCATTATACTGTACATGCTCATCTAGGGATGTTAGTATGAATAAAGGAACGCGGAACAGCACAAAGGGGGAAAATGGAAAAAACCTCAAACGTGACGCGGGTGCTGCCGGTGCTGTACTAGCCGGCTTCGGCTTCAATACGAGCCGAGACGGCCAACTTCGTCCGGGCATTCGCAAACGCCGTTCTACATAGGACGCGTTCGCTCAATACTCAGTACTCAGTGAGATTGGATTCCTAACAGCTACGTTGACCTGTCAATATTATGTGGAAGTCCCCCACTGAACCCCACTAGGGTCACCATGCTCCTATCATTATTTTGACATGGTACGGGACTGGCAACAAAACGATACGCACAGTAGCCCTCGGTGAGGAAGAGATGCTGCCAAAATTTAAAATGCATTGAGTGGTTATGCATACACTTGCCAGCAGGTGTCTAGCTGTTTGTTAGTAGGGTTGCCAACCGTTTGGGCCATTCAGAACGCATTCAAACAAGGCATTCTCAGTCGGACACAGGTAGTGGTAGTGAACATCTGAGGTACGGTGGAAGAGATGGCCGTGCACTGCACCTACTTACTCCCCTTGTCGAATGTAAAGTCTGGGGCCCGCGTTTACTATATAGACACTGCCATGTAATGCTACCGACTTACCCGCCCTTCACTAGCAGGCCACTAATTAGTGCCGGCCAAAATGTGAGGGAAAAATTGAAACACAGTCTCACAGATAACATCTCGACCCAATGCTTCGGCTTTACCATTCCAGTCACCCTGACTCGTTTTGCCATGACCGAAAGCCTTAGTTCCGCCCATTTTTCCAAGATTTTTCCAGTTTGAAACAGTCGCTTACAGGTAGTGGTGCTTAACAGCTCAGGGAAATACTCTAATACATATAATAAAACATTAGCTGAAATAAAAGACATACCTTGAATACGCCCAACAAATCTCATTGTCATTTTCTCCGACAATGGGACAGGACACTATCTAACCCTACAATTTTAGTAAAATTACCAGCATACGAGATCCCCACGATGGAGATCAATCGTATCCAGGAGAGATACTTATCTGTTTGGGGACACAAGCCTGTGAAAGTCAAGTTAACGGCGCTCATGACTCTAAAACACACGGTTCTGTAGAGAATCCGACGTGTCGGGGACCGCTTCACCGACCAAAGATATCACTCCTCATACATCGGCGGGATACAGTAGACACTTGCGCGTTGAAAAGTACAAGACTGATCCGATCATCGAGTCGAGTGGTGATCGTATGCGCCATCTGATAACAAACATCGCAAACAAGACAACGTATCCTCAGACTGTATGGTACCTCAATATCAGATCGACTAGCTATATGCATAGAATCACGGAACATACAGACTTACAAGGATTCCTTATTTCCTTTGAGATAGAGTTTACTGTTGAAGAAATCTTTCTGACCCTGGTACATATGAACTGCGCAGCCATTCGAGATGTAAGCGCTGCAGGGAAGTGGCATCAGGAGCGTTGACAGATGAGCGCGATTGCTGAATCGACTCCGTGGCGTTTGCTGACAAGTGATCGCGTTCGTGTGGATTCTGAGTTGGTGACCCACTCAAACCCGAGTCATGTGATGTCATTCTCGAAAAGGAAGTGTTTCTCCCCTCAAAACCCAAACGCATCGCTCTCTAATTTCTCCGCGTATCTCCTGCGAAGTGACGAAATCCACTCTACCGTTATCTTAATATAGTTACCGATCATCAAAGTAGCTCGTGCACGGCCGACGCGTTTTTTTTCCACCTTCGAACATGATGATTAATGGACCGGAAATGAGTGGTGCACTGGTCCCACCTCTCTCTGGATTGACGGGCGGGCATATAAGCTGCGTCGTTGCTGATTTTCTTCTCACCGCCTTCGCTGCATTTACACTCCATGGAGTCTCATACCACTACGGTCGTCGATGTTCCGGAAAAAAATGAGAGAGAAACGCGACCGCCGTTTTCGACCCTTCAAACATTTTCACTGATAGCGACATGTACAATGGCTATGTGGGTGAACGTACGTCGCTTCTTCTTTTCGTAAAACATGTACTCATCCAAGTTCGATACACATTTTCTAGAGCTCAAATACTACCTCGGTTTCCATTTCATTACCATCCATTGGTGAGGATTTGGATATCGAAGAGGCGCAACTTCAATGGCTGGTAAGTCTTGACATACTGCTGCGGCGCGGCGTTGGCTCACCGTTAACGTCCCAGGTATCAGCTTATGCTCTGAGTTCTGTACGTCCATGGTGGATATCAGTATCCGACTTCGACTTACCACATTTTTTCTAGGGATGTCTCTTTCCTATGTTCGGACGCCTTGCAGACCTCTATGGACGCAAACGAGTATTCATAGCTGGCTCAGCATGGCTCGCCGTCTTTACCCTTGTCTGTGGCTTTGCCCAAAGTATGTCTACGTCACTGTTACCCCGCATTTACTGACCGCTCACTCAAATTAGATGAAATCACCCTGGACGTGCTACGCGGTATTCAAGGAATTGGTGTAGCCGCCGCCTTGCCCGCATCAGTGAGCATCTGACGCCCTTGATTCTGAATGACCCAACCTGACCATCAAACGTAGATGGGAATTCTAGCACATGCCTTTCCTCCCGGGAAAATTCGTTCCATCGCCTTTGCCTCCTTCGCTGCTGGAGCTCCCTTAGGCGCGTTCACTGGTATGGCTTTAGGTGCCACTCTCACCCAGCTGTCCAAGTATGTCATCAACTCAATCATGCTGAATCATCGTCTGACTGTTCGTTTCAAAGCCCATCCTGGCGAAGTAATTTCTTCTTGTCAACCGGCTTGACGGTTATGTACATGGTTGTTGGACTTTGGGCTATACCCAAGGACGAACCATCTACAGAACTAGACAAACGCGTTGACTGGCTCGGCGCGTTCCTGGTAACGGCTGGCCTGGTTCTCATCATCTTCGTACTTAGTGACGGAGAAGTGGCTCCCAACAAATGGGCGACTTCCTGTAAGTTTAACATTCTCCTCGCCAGGTCTCTGTACTTACATCCTATCCAGACATCATCGCACTCCTCGTAGTCGGCGTTATCATCCTCGGCCTTTTCTTATTATGGCAATGGTATCTTGAACGTATCCAGCTCAACCCGAACGCGCCATACTCCGCCCTCACCCCGCCGCCCATCATGAAGCTCTCCCTGTGGGCCCGCGGGAACGGGAAATTCGCAGCAATCATGGTCATCGTCATGTTCACCTTCTGTTCATTTTTGGGATGGAACTTCTGGACCCAGGTATGTACGATGACCCACTCGTAAGCGATGGATGCACTTATCACGGCTCTCCTAGCTCTACTATCAAAGCTACCAAGGCTACACTCCCGTTGGTACTATGATCCGGCTGTTCCCCATGTTCATCACTGGAATCATCTGCAACTTTATCATTGCTGTCATCATTGCTCGGGTTTCTGTGGTCTGGATTCTAGGTTAGTAGATTTTCAAAGGAACCGGCTTAAGGAAACATGCTCATTCTCATGCTTTAGCGAGCGGAACAATTATTACCGCATGCGCAGCAATCTTCTTCGCTGAAATTGACCCCGATGCAACATATTGGGCCTATGGTTTCCCTAGCGCCATTTTCTCTGTCTTTGGGGCTGATTTCGTATTTGCTGCCGGGACTATCTTCGTAGCGAGGATTGTCGAGCCTCACGAACAGAGCCTCTCCGGTGCTCTATTTCAGACGATGTACCAGGTGGGTCATCTCGTTCTCTTAAGCAAGGAGCCGGATCTTGATGCTTTCAATAGATTGGGACAGCACTGGGAGTTACGGTCTCTACTATCGTTTTCAACCGCGTCGTCGCTCAGGACTCGTTGAATATGGGTGTCGTAGTCGACGAAGCAAACAGTAATGCTCCCCGAGAAGCTCTCCTGAATGGTTACAAGGCAGCAGAGTGGACTGCATTCGCTTTTGGAGCCATCGGTTCGTCATTCATTTTGCTTCTATTACGACTGTCGGACTAAATTAGCCTTGTAGGTGCCCTTCTGGCCGTTCTTTTCTTCTGGAATGTCGGAATCGTCGGCGACAAGACTGCACCGGAGGAGGCTGAGCCCACATCCACACCTGAGAGCGTTTCTACAGTGGCTGTTGAGCGAGATGTAGAGAAAGCGATCCAAGAAATACCCAGGGCCATGACGAGTCCTACTCCGTCTGAGAACGTGCATTAATATGTAAAATACCCGTAAAAAACTATCACTAACCATACCCCATCTATGTACACTACTACTGACACTTCAACCTAGACATTATGTATTGTATCCACTAAAAACCGATGACATTCTTGGCTTCGTTCAACCAGATCCCTTGTGATGATAATTCAAAGTGGGACATACAGCTTTCCTCGGCAAAGCGATAAGCACGCATCATTTCTTCCACTCCCCACGGGGGTACGTCGCTCGCTTGGCAAGTATCTTGTTTGATACCTCCTACGAGTCACATTTATCTCTCCACGTCGTCCTTCTCTGCGTATTTATCCAAACTCGAAACAAAAAGACTGCGTAGGCCCAAACGTACCAAGTACATCTTTCTCATCCGCGATCGCCGACCCCCGGTGGCGGCTTCGGCTTATTCAGAAATAGCCCCGCCCGCGGAGCGCTTATGACAAATCCTAACGGCCAGGACATGAAAATAACCGCCAGTTATGTCCGCAAATAACATCGCAGGACAAAACATACATCCATGTAGTTCCGAGTCCTATGAATATAGGTATCGGTTATTATGCCAGTTTGAATTATCGTGGGAAAATCTATTCGAGGTATCAAACCTTATCGGGTTTTGCCGACTCGCCTACCTGGCCTTACCGTGGGAATATTTCTATTCAATGCCGTCTTTATCCGCTTGCCTGACCCGTTACTTTCCGTTTTGCTTCCACTGTTTCACATACTCGCTCTTCCCCCCGGTTTCTTTCTTTCTTTCTTCTCATTCGACTTTCATTTTTTGCTTTCTTTTTCCGTCTTTCTCTCTCATATTCTCATCGTTTCTTTCTATTCTTCCTCATCGCCCCATAAGTCAGCTCGTTCGTCATCTCTACTTCGTCTATTTCCACGTAGCTTACTCTGTCATTCCAATATCTCTTTCTTTCTCTCCTTCGAAATGTGCCTCCGCCTCCGCCTCTTCCCCTTCTGCTTTGTACCTTACCGTCTCTCTCCTGTGCTTGCCTCCCATCTCTATCTCTTCCTCTTCGTACTCGAACCCGATTCGTCGTTTCATCTTCGGCGTGCGTTGTGGGTCCTTGTCGCTCGCAACACTCTTGTTCTTCGCAGTGTTCTGAAATAATGTTAATTTGTGTGTTTATTTGTTCATTGCTCGTGGCTTACCGTAGTGTGGTCGCAATATCATTTTCATCCTTATGTGGTCTCCTCAGCACTTCACAAATACGATGGAGCATCGTGCTTCCACTATGTCGCCTATCCTGAACATATGTGGCCTCGGTTGGCTGGTATTGTTTATTATGGAGCGCGACACTTCACCGCGCGATTTGTAGATGCAGAGAACCAAGTATGGTTTAACGACGGCATTGTATTAGGTAGACATTCGCTACATGAAGGTCATATTGACGACGTCAACATGATGCGAGACAAGACGGGCAAAGACCGTGACATGTTCATATACAGGCAGGCCAATATATGAAAACTGGTGTGCCCGATGGAAAGAAAATTCATAGGACTCGGACATGCCACGCAGATGCGTTGGCCCTCACCCCACTAGTACTAATGTGGGTCGAGTCCGGAGCAGCGTGGCAGAACCCGGGCATATTCGGTCAGACGACCTGTTAAATCTGATGTTAAAGGCAAATACCCAAGCCCAAGTACTTACGGGAGCCAGACCAGGGGTACAAACTTCAAAGCCACCGCATCTGGTACAGTAAACTGTAAGGGTTATCTCAGTAGACGTCTGCGAGCGAACAAAAAAGGCCGCCACTTTGATTCCAAGTATCGCAAGTGCAACAAATACATAGTCTCTCCTAGACAGGCGACGATATTGACCTAATTAATGACAGATGGGGTGGACGGTTAATATGTAATACGTGGTTGGAATGGCGGTGGAAACTTTAATAAATGAGCAACGAATAGTAAAGTATCATCCGAGCACGTCTATTTACGAGCGAATGGGATGCTACAAGCGTGAAACAATGGCATCAAGTAACTCAGTGACAGGAGAACCCGAAGACTTCTAAGACTTCTGACCGGGTCCGCAGAGCGCGCACCCAGGTCATGGCATTTAAACATCCAGCACTTCAAGTTGTTTGGTCCACTGATAGGATAGAAGCCTTATGATAGTCTATATTCTTGAAGCGGTATTCTATGGGACTTATTCATGACAGTTTTCAGCTCGGGCGATGCAATTCCAGTTTGAACGAGTTGTCTTACGGTGAGGAGTCAAAAATCCAACCAAATCGTAATTAACTCAGACGCCCGTAGTCGCATTCCTAGTAAGGGGTTCCCAGCTTTAAATGATAGGGGATGCTATTGTTGTGAAATTCCAGTACCTAGAGGGAATGTGATACCTAGTAAACAGGTTCCAACTTCATCAAGTTAAAAAACGAAGAAAGAATCAGGTATAAGAGAATATCGTAAGTACGAGTAAAAAGATTGACATAGAGTCTCTACGCAGCCTGACTCGATAATTTTGTCCCATGTAAGGACGTAAGCGATGTTCCGTCCCGAGTTTAAATGGGTGTAAATAGGTATCCTGACGGCTTGCCCCTGCTTGCCCCCGCAAATTTCGCCAGATTAAGTAGACCTTTGAATGTCTCTTCGTGTTTCTTAAAAGCTACTGCACGCTCGTTGTCGCTGAAAAGGTCTTCCAAACAGAAACTAAAGTGTTCGATATCATTGAGACGTAGCATAGTCTCCTGACAATAACGGCGGAGGGCAGATATCAGGTGGGGCAAGTCATCCAACGGGGCTAACCGCATCGACGCCGACCAAGTAAGCCATTGGAAGAGCGAGTCTCTGCGTGAGGTCCTTCGTAGCTCGGCCGCTAATGTAGCCTCAACGTTGACAATGGCTGCTTCAAGCAACGGGGAATTTTCCCTTGCGATTTGAGCAATCGTCGCTGCAGATAAGTGTGAGGAGGAGGAAAGATCTGAGAGGAAACACGTGAACAACGAGAAGTTCCTCCAAGCACAGACGACTGGATATAGGGAATCTATAGCCGAATCACGGAAAGGCTGGAGGATAGCAAGAGTGGTCTCGTCCCGAACAGGGGTGCAGATCGTAGCTTGGGCAATCAAATAGTTCGCTGCATGAAAAAAGGATTCCTCCGTATCGTGGAGATTCCGGAGAACGTCGGCAATAGAAGTCGGATGCTGTACATAACGTTGCATGTTAAGGGAAAGTCACAATAAAGAAATTGTGGAGAAAAGGAGTCCCACCTCGTTATTGGAAGTCATGGAATCGATGAAACCAAAGGTGCTCTTAACCCAACCAATTAGTGCAGTGCTTGAATATCATAGGACCCTGGACTACTCAAGCACTTACCAACAATAGATATGATGCTTGAGCAAAGAGATGGTGGCAGAGTTTAGGAGAAATTCAGGTGAGACCGCTTGGAACTTGGAAGGAAGGAAAAGAAGCACAATACCAGAAACTCAAATATTGTCCGTACCGTGACCGTTGTTCGCCAAGCCATAACCACCAGGTACGGGGGATACTAATTCGGGTATTTGGAGCGTCTTTGTAGCTGTATGTCGGGAGATGGGCAAGAGGCCAGGTACCCACGAAGGCAAGACAGCTGAGCGACGACACTGGAGCCGGAGGAGGGGCCCAAACTTTAGAGTCGCCGCATCTAGTACGGTAAAGATCACCGCAGCCTCACAATAGACGTCTGTGGGTGGGCGGAAAAGAGGCAGCCGCTTTGGTTCTAACAGGTGCAACAAGTGCGCGGTCGGAATAGTGGTGGAGTCGTTGATAAATAAACAAGTGACGAACAAGCTATTATGCCATTCAAGTACGTCTGTTTACAGTGTTGTCAAGTGACTCGATGGACCGTCATTTTCCGGAGAGAAGTCGTTGCGAATTTAATATATATATGCAAAGTCTGAGTCTCCACGCAAAACAGATTTAACATGAATTCTCATCTCCAGAATAGAAGACGAAGGAAGAACCAAGTATAGGAGCATATCGTAAGTCCAGATAAGAAACTTGACATAGAGTCACGGCTTCTACGCAGATAAATTTCCCCCTTGTAAGAAACCAACAATTGTCCGAGATGCAGTGGGTGAGGATAGGTATCGCTACGGCTGTAACAAGTAATTGCCGCCAGATGATGCAGACCTTTGACCGCCTCTTTGCTTTTCTTAAAGGCTCGTGTACGCTCGTTGTTACTGAAGAAATTATCCAGACAGAGAATAAAACCTTCGATAATATTGAGACATCGCATAGTCTCCTGGCAATAACGGCGGAGGGCGGACATCAGATAGGGCAAGTCGTCCAGCAGAGCCAACCGCATCGATGCTGACCAAATAAACCACTGGAAGAGTGAATCTCTGCGTGAAGATCTTCGTAGCGCTGCCGATAGTGTGGTCTCAGTGTCGACAAGTAGCGGGAAAACGTCCCTTGCGATTTGAACATTTAGTCGCATGGAGCGATATTCAGCAACAGCATAGGACCTCGACGTTGTAGATGATGGTACGGAACGGGCAATACGTGAGAAGTAACGCATGAGCGATGAAAAATCCCTCCAAGCTGTGACGACTGGATGAAGGAAATTTATAGCAGAGTCACGGAAAGGCTGGAGGATGGCAAGAGTGGTCTCGTCCCGAACAGGGGTGCAGATCGTAGCTTGGGCAATCAAATAGTTTGCCGCATGATAAAGGATTCCTCTGCATCGTGGAGACTCTGGAGAACGTCGGAGATAGAAGTCGAATGCTGTATATGACGTTGCGTAAGGGAGAGTCACGATAATAAAGAAAAGGAGTCCCACCTCGTTATTGGAAGTCATGAAATCGATAAGATCAAAGGTGCTCCTAACCCAACCAGTCAGTGCAATACTTGAATATCATACTAGAACTATCCAGGCACTTACCAATACTACCAATAGAGATGACAATTAGACTAAGAGGTGGTGGCAGGGTTTAAGTGACAGCCAGTGAGACCTCTGCTGATTTTGGTGTCAGATCGTCGCAGAGAAACGAAGCCGGTCTTTATCCCTGGTGATATTCCCAGAAGTACTTAGCTATAGAGTCAATCCCCTAGACCCTCACATCATACCTGAACGACTGATATCGCGAGAATCAGGAGATATCCAAAGGGTGCGATAGAACACATAACACCACAACTGATGATCGAACAAGGATGCAGGACCATATCTGGAGGCAAGTCTCGCCCGACATCGAGGCACGACATACATAGCACACAGTTCGAAAAAGAAACTAACAAATGTGATCAATCAGTTACATGCCCTCTCACTCCACCCCATCCTTCTCTATGTACTTGTCCAAACTCGAAACAGAGGGCTCTGCATGTCCAAACGTACCAAATACATCTTTCTCATCCACATCGCCAATTCCCGGTGGCGGCCACAGCTTATTCAGAATTAGCCACGTCGCAGCGCTTATGCTAAATCCTAACGGCCAGGACATATAGTACACATGTCTTCAAACGCAACCATCAGTTACGTCCGCATAATATAACATTACAAAGGAAAACGTACACCCATGTGATACCAACGTGGATCGAGTCCGGGTTGATAGACGCGCAGAACCCGGGCATACTGGGCCAAACGCCCTGTCGACTTTGATGTTAACGCAAACACTCAAGTAGATCTGACGGTCACGTACAAGCAGCCACGCCACCGGTGCACGCCAGTTGAGGCCGTGCCAAAACCAGTAGTCACTAGATGAGTTCGGGATGAAGAGGTGAGACAGCTTTAACCGCCGTTGACGTAGCAGGTGGTAATCCGCCTGGAAGAGCTCGTGAGCATCAACTAGATCATAACCCCAGAGAAAAGGGCACGGACAATCATTATTCCCGAAAGTGGGCCAAGGAAGACAGCATATCCCGAGATCACGGAGATGAACGAGTTTGCGCTCTATATCTGTGGCGTCAACGTTCCCTGATGCGTTCCTATAGGGAGCGCACACGTACGTTGAGAATCTTCCACGGATTAATGCATATCCCAATAATCGCGACAATAAAAGCGCCCCGTTTAATATCGATGTATCTATGTGTCTGGATGTCAGTAAGGTGCCGCCGGGCAATATCTTAACTCTACCGAGGGAGGAGCACAGCAAGATCTATGCCTCCGACAATACCGCACGCAGTGACCTATACATGTAACATTACGAATTTGCTACAAGAACAGAAATAAAACATACGTTGACAGATAGCTGGGACACAAAGAAAGCAAAGGCGGCGAAGAACACGGCTGCACGAGCTCCCGAACCGCCATGTTCCTGAATTGCTTGCAATAGATCATACAGTTTCCTTGTCAATTCGAGTCAGTTGATGGAAAATTATGATGATCCGACATAGGTTACCAGAGGAGAGGTTCGTCAGGATAGAATCCTCGTGCACAAGATGTGGTCACCTTGACTCAGTGAGCATTAAGTAGTATAACGTAAAACTATCAAAACTCACGATCCCGAGCACGTTAGTTCCCAACAAACACACAGGAATGATGAAGATTTGCCCATATAGCTGATCACCAGGTTTTGCCGCATAACGAGAAAAATCTAGATGTCACTGTCAGACTTAGGTAACCCAGATAGCATAGCAATCATTACCGCTCTGATAAAGAATCTAGGATAAGCATAGTCAGCGGAAACTCAGAAATGGAGATAGGATGATTAACTGACCCCTCCAGCCCAACCGCCGATCCCACTGGTGATCATACGGGTCATGGCCCAACCTAACGCCGCCCCCTTCAGCTCCCCAATCCCATACACAGTTTCGGGGTTGCTAATGAGGGGGCCACCGTTGCCCTGTTTTATGACTGCCCATATGAAGATTACCAATGCAGCAATAATGACAATGACTGAAGATAGGATTGAGGAGAGCCGATATCTGAGGAACAAGTATAATTAATGCATAGAGAAATCTTATGAATATCTTACTGTTCTGGTCGAAGGAGAAGGAATGGACACGAGATGACCCAGAAGATGATGAAAGAAACTAGACACAACACAACATCGTTTAGTCGCAGAAGATCGCAATCAGATAATCCACCAACTAAATTCATTTGTCTTCATAGCGACTCCAGGTCCAAATGTATTCCTCATGTTGTAGAAGCTGGCTAGGAACAGACTTAGCGTTGTCTGCGAGGACGACCAAGGCAAAACTCACGCCATATTGCACCAATCATTATTTTGACCATCTGGCCACCATACCACCCTTGAACACCGTACCAACAACACGAGAGAATCACGCGATTGAGTAGTGGGAACCAGGATCCGCGACTAGTGGGATTCTCAGAATAAAAAAGACCGTATGAAATGTTAGGAAACTAACATTCCCCAGGCACTACGATTGATCACTGCCTAGAAGCAAGCTCGATTGAAGGAGAAGATTTAAGGAAATAGACGGTAGACGCACGAATGGAATGTGCCATTTTCCTCCTCCATGACCACTTATGACGAGAGCTAGGCATATTCTACAGAAAAGGTGAGTACGAGGAAACAAGAGGAAGAATTGAAAGTGCTGACATTACCGTACTAACGGCATTCACTTAATTTCCATAAGAACAGCAAAACGCGCGCAGGAAAGAAATTCACCTGCAATAGCTTGACCAACAGTCAACCCAAGAGCTACTAAAGAGCCGTTAGCGCCTTCCAGCTAAAAACCACGACCGGACACTCACGCGCTGCAGACGCCCCTGACCATTCCGCGATATTGATAGCTTTCGATACCGTGAGTCGAGGGTTCACGAGAATGCCCTGCACCCACATTTTGAAAGCCAGAAAAAGATAAAATCCCTCTTGGTCCACGTCCTTCTAGCAGGTGAGAAAGGAAGAATGTCGTTGTTCCTGTAGGGTGAAGCATCCGGCGAGACCTATGGATACGATGAGCTCGGCACCGTTCAGGAAAATTGATGCCCTGACCTCCAGAGCTTTCAGTACTGCTTGTACCCATATCATCGTGCAGTCCAAGCAGTATTCACCTCGGCTCCGTGGAGATTTATAACGAAAGCTCGCCCCACAAGAAAAGACGAGAACCAGCCATCCCCAATTTCCCTTTGCGGCTCTCGCGGATGTGAAATAAGCACAGAAACTTGCAGTCGCATTTTGAAAACGCAGTTGACTCTTCCATAGTCGAAGAAAAGGAATAACGAACAATACGTGTAGCAGATTCAAAATTTGAAAGATGGTATTAAGTGGTATTGGTATTGACACGAGGTCCCAGAAGGAACTACCGTAGTACGTCAACCAATCAGACGATATCGGTGTTACGGAAAAATTACTTCCGTTACATAAACCCGATTAATTCCGCGCACTCTAGTTGCGGACCTAATACTATGTAGTAAATTATCTATCAGCGGTGCAAAGGATTTCAGTTAACTTCTTCGTTCAAGAGAAATAGATATACACGCCCGAGAACTAACACGTCGTAACACACACGGATGCACATGTTACACTTGACCATCACCACTAATCATCATTTCCTCCGGTGTCGTCCTACTATTGCAAGGCCACCAGTCGATGCCAAAACTTTGGCATCGCCAGCCGTAAATTCATCGGATGTCCACTTTCATCCGGAACTCGTCGCGGTTGCAGAGGATCTGGAAGGCCAAAGTCTCCTTCAACAAACACCCTAAAGTCTGAAACGGTACGAAGAGTCTGCTCCCTACTGCCTGATAGTTTAAAATGCTCGGGAATGGTGTCGAGCTTCCGCAAACAGTCATGCCAAGCCGGGTGCTGTAGACTAAGCTGGGCAAGACGACGAAGGCGATGTGTGTCATTCCCAGAAATATACACCGCACAAACGGTGAAGAGGTTCTCGGATTCGAAAATGTATGCCATGGACCGTTGAAAGATCTCATGACCCAATGTATCGGGTGTCATTTGGGTGATAAAGGCAGCCGGGATCATCTGTAGGGCATCGTTAGATGAAAGATCATCACCGCGGAGCATGGCTATCTGATCAAGAACACGCCCGGAGACAAAATGAGCAAAAGTCTGATTCACGATGGGGGTGAACCGCAAGAAACAAAGAATGAGCTCGTCTGATTCCAAGAAAACGTGATGATACTGGCGATCTTCTTCCTGGCGTATCCAGGTCTGATCCTGGAAGGCAATTCGGACAAAGTTGGAAGCCATGTCCGGTGTACACCAGTCCTCGGGAAGAAAACGAGGGCGAGGGGACGTCGAATTAAGCACCCGAAAGAATATTAGCAGCGCGATACGTTGGTCTATGCTCCGCATCGAAGTGCCACCAATTGCGAACTCGTCCGATGAAATCAAAGTATACGAGAGCTTCAACACCGCGTAACGATTATCGTCGAGTTTGAAGGAAGGAACCTCTTCGTCACCCAGACTAAACTCACGGTCGTCCATGTAACACGCAATGTCAAACATAACCATGCCAAAAAAGCTGTCAATAGAAGGGTCGGAGATGACCACCTTTCAGATAGAAGGTGAGCCAGCCACGTCAACAATGAACGTAGCCGTGGATCTTGAGGTTCGGGAAATTCATCAGCAGGATCATGGTGGTAAAGGCTGTCCTCGACATCTTTGAAACTCTGGAAGATGGCATCGGCGACATACGGATACAGATGGTCGTTAATGGCTCTGTCAAGAGGTACTGCAAAGTGATCTCTGTTGGAAGTTGAGTAAATCTTCAGTCCATTTCTTGCCAAGAAAAGAGGCAGGGGCTTGTAGTCAGCACGCCAATAGAACGAGGGAATTGCATGGAATAAAGGCTGAATTAAACCATCATCCGGAGTGAAGGGCAGCAACTTCTGGAGAAGATAGCCCCATACAATGGGCTGCAGACGAAGCTCTGTTGAGTTCGTTGACTGAGCTTTCACCAAATCTCGGATTTCAGAGGGATCAATAGGATGGGGCAGAACAGCCAAAAACTCTGCGTAGATATCCCGAGACCATTGTTCTCTTTCCTCGTGCACTGCTGCGAAAGCCCACATTGTCCTGCAAAATTCGTCGTTCATGACAAGACGAAGGCTTGCGCGAACGAGGCGATCAAGCACGCTTTCTCGAGGGCGACTCCCCATATGAAAGACGAGAGCATTACACATCTCTGAAATTTCTTTCGCATGTTGCTTTAGAGGCTCCACTGATCTCAGCGGTAAAGCACTGATTGATTGCACAACGATGCTCTGTACGCTGGGGTTCGAAGACATGCCGAAGAGCCAGGCTAAGGCGCGCGCATCCATCTTGTTCGCACTGAGGGTAACAACTGCGCGCTCAGCATCTCCAAGTTCACAAATGGGAGGCTTCGTCGGGGCTGAGGAGGATGATTTGCTAGAAATCAGGGATATGATGGAAGACAAGAAGCCGTTATGGGCAATGTAGGCATAGAGAGGAAAGATATACTGGGAGACCGGCGTCTTGTACGGGCATGAAGGGTACCGGATTGGAAGGAAGCTGGTGACAAAGTACGCGGTGAAGGATATAAATGTGATGACTCCGACAGCAGACGCAATCGTCACTTGTCGTGGGGCTAGATAGAGAACCAAACCTACGAGAAATACGCCAAGCGATACGCTCAAGAGTACGGGTAATAATCCAATGATGAAACGCACGCCCCACTTCTGCAGTCCCATGTACCGAAATTGCCGCACCCGACATCTGTCCCGAGGTGTCCCTGATGGAACTGTCATATATTGGTGGATCCACTGCTTCGTAAGGACAACGAAGAGTGCAGTAGCGAGACTAAACGAGAGGCTAGTGAACCACAGGCCATTTACCCAAGCATCAGATGCCGCGGGCCGAAAGTTTGAGAATGGGGTAAGGCCAGAGCGAGGAACCTCGTTCACGAGGGAACCGTTGGTCGCCGCGCGCTGGACATTGATGAACTCGAACAAGAGTGATGCAGTAACTTGACCGTAGTCAAGCTGAAGGCTCTGCGAGGTCTGGGCAACGAACGTAGTAACCACAGCAGAGAAAAGACCAGCCTAATCGTCCGTCAATGAAGGAATGTTGGATTTATCTGTATATATGCACTCACAAAAATCAGCAAAACATCTAATCCATCCCTCCATTCTGACACCATCTGGACGTCAAATGTAGCGCACTCTTCGAGGTATGTTCTCCATACTCTGGCAGCCGGTCCCAGCTCCTCGTACCGTTTATCTTCTGGAAATTTCCTTTCGTAGTCGAATGGATCATCCCCTTTGCTCTCAGTGAGATACGTCGCTGCAAATACATTGATAAATCAACAACATACCTCCGACCTGGAATTCACGTTGTTGGATGCCAAAGACATTGCGAGTTGACTTTCCTTGTCGCTGCGAGGAATAAGCTGTTGAGTACTCCACCGGCTGCTGAACCCCAGACTGGGCGGGATGGTCTGATCTTTCTGGGTCACCTTGGGTGACATTGGACGATATTTGGGGAGTTTCGTCGTCTCCGTCTTGTGAAGTGTCGATGGAAGGCATAGTTGTCGAGGTTCGAACTTGAATGGTGCCAGGGAAAAAGGTCGGGATAGCCATGAGGCTGTATCTACAATGCCACCTGCCAGATCCATGATAACAGACGCCATAGGATGCTGGGCCTACAGACGTCACCGGACTTTGAGGGAAATAGTAGCCGGACACTACCGTACAAATATGTCCCGTATTTACAATGTATTTAACAGATAACGGTAGAATAGCCACCGGGTGACTATCGGTCAATTGTACTCCCTAATGGAAGTGTTTTCATTCAATATTGTACCTGAAGGATATTTGATAGCATATATTCGGACCAATCCTTGACCAATCCAGTTCCATGGTGACAGGGAACTTGAAGCATGTATATTCAAAGTACATCGACGTAGACACGATCGCGCTGCAACTGCTTCTACTATGACCAACACAATAACATACCTCGAAGTCCCATGAATATACCCGCTGTAGGTCCATCCAGTCGGAAGTCAAATACCAAAACACGAGCTCCCACACGGCACGCACGCCAATCCGGATGCTCCTGCAGAGAATGTCGGAAGTACAAATATGAAGTTGCCCTCCGAGCCTTCAACGTTCAACCTCCCGTACTGGAGGAAACGATAAGAAACAAGAAGCCGAAGGAGATTGACATACCAAGCCACCTCGACACAGCCCACTTCAGGAGATCCGGTCATACAGTACAATGATCCCTTCAGGGCTCCCTCCGTTTAGCGTACCAGAATCCGTCACTCAGTCTTCGAAAATGAGCATGCTGTGAGTTGAATGTTTGTACAGACCCTAGCATTGACTCACCGGGAAGGACACATTGCCAGGAGACCGAGTGGCTAGTATGAAGACTTGAGACCACTTGCCAGTGCGACTACTACTACTTGAGGTTAGACAGCTCGAAACAAAAGGAGAGCACTTGAAACACACCGGATTCTGGATCTCCTCTCCAAGCGTCCACTTGAGATCGCTCAGCCCAGCCACCAATCGTCGGACATGTACCCTCGACTCCCAGCATTGATCCAGCTCTCTTCCAAACACCACGTACTACAGAATCGAAGCTCACAAACGATATGTGCTCTGCTTTTCTTTACTCAACTGCTGCTGCCGAAGACTCTGATGCCTTTGACGACACCTTACCTGCTCCAAACATGAATTCAACGCCGACCATAACAGACATTACCACACACCTTGTATCTTCAACTGCTCACAGTCAACTTGACAAGACCTCTTCCGAAGAACCGCCTTTCAAAAAGCACTGTCAGAAAAACCGAAGTAGATCATGCAAGGCACCACACCAAGAAGACCTCCAGCTTCATCGACATCGTCTAGAACCTCAGTAGTCCATTGCACCCTTAGGATGCCTATCGCCTTCGATCGAGTTGGGTATTCTCCCACTATGTCTGCGTTGGACTGCAGTGCCCACAACACCAAAGACTTCCCCCTTCTCAGTCTCAAGCATACCGTCACAGTCCTCGAAAATCTGTCTAGATATCACCGGGCAAGAGCCGTTGAAGCGCCGGATGGCATGGTCTCATTGCGCGAGTCAGACAGCAGTGCGACGCGTCTTGTGATGGTGGTCGAGGTCAGAGTTAGAGTTGGATGACGTCAGCGGTCAGACTTCATGACGTGGCACAGACCGCGGACCTTGGGGTACTTATACTCATCTATAGTTGAAGAAATCTTGAATCAAGTCCGCATGAGTCACGCCAGAATATACCTGGAATATGCATGGAATATGATTTGTATTTTGAAGATAATGGTGGAGCGAATACAAGATCAATATCGGTCTATTATCCTGTAATTATAATAGGTAACAGCACGATAGCCGCAGCAACTAATTCGGTCCAAAGTCCGGTGCGTTGTGCACACACATCGAGGGTGGTCGATTGTTAGAAAAGGAAATTGAAATTACCAATCTCATGTAGACTGATGTGGGTCCAATCTTCTTATAGCCGTTTTCAAATCCCGGATTCTTGCAATTCATACTTGATTTAATGAAACTACCCTTCCTCCCAAAATGCGCCAACTGGAGAATTGCTGGATGACGGTTGATCATAAAGGCAAACGTCAAACAAAAGTTCAGAGCACGAGTGCTACATGTTCCACTAAGGAAATAACTACAGATGAGAGTATGTATATGCGACGGTGAGAATGTATGCAAAGTCCAATTATATGCGAATTTGATACACTACAAGGTTCCGTTGAGATGTTTGCTACAATCAGTATATCATGTCCATGAGGTACGTATCAACCGGAACTAGCAGGCTTAGCTGCATACCGGGGGAGTGATTCGAGGGGTTTCGAGATGAGGAAGCCTTTCAGGCCCGCAGCCTTTTCGCCTTGGCGACCAAAGCCGAATCCAGCCTTGGGACCTGAACCGGCGTCGGGGGCCTTTTCTTCATTACTGAAGGCATTGGAGACAAAGGATGGTACTGAGGTAGGGACAGGGATTCCAGCTACGTGGGTAGGGAGAGCGCTCTTTGCTGCACTCTTGGCATGATCGCGCCACGACGTGACCGAGCGCTTGGTCTTGGCCGACTGGCGGAAGATGAGGCCAGCGAGCATGTTCAGGCAGCCGACAGAGAAGAGGAAGAATGCGGATACAAGGGTGAAATCGTCAACATGGTGGGAGAGAATTGCTGCACCGATTCTGATATCGGTCATGAGCGAAAACGAAAGAGTGAATGAATAGGTAGGACGTACAAGCATTGGATGATCCCTAAAGCACCCAGACCAAAATCGTCGCCGAGAACAGGGAAGAACCGATTGAAGAACACGGAAGGCCAGCCAAATTCAGAGAGGAGCAGGACGACAGTTTGCCCGATGATGAGGAGCCTGTTCAATACTGCCCAAAAAATTCCAGCAGCTTGGTTTGGCACGGTGCTTCCACTGCAGAATCCATCAGCAACCAGAACGAAACGAATAGAAAAGCCAACGCACTCGATATAGTCCGTATCCACCACAGTCGAATTGGAAGAAGAGGTCGTACTGTTGCCTGACGTGCTCTGGAACCGGTTCACAGCTTTGACGTCGCTGACCAGCGTCTCGATATTGCTCGCAAACACGAGAAGAAGGCCGATAATGCTCAAAGTACGGATGATGTTGAGGCCAATGAAAATATCTGCAGCAAAAAAAAAATCAGAAAAGTGGCGCCACGAACTAAAAAAAAAAAAGCACATACATGCACGAGGAGGCAACATGATGTACTAGACAATATATAATGAAGCAACCAGGCTTTGGGAACGTGAAAGGTGCACCGGTGCACCAGACGTGAAATGAGCGTAAAAACGGACGAGAGAATCGGCGAAGGGTGGTAGCGGCATCGACGCGAAGCCCAGCTTTATATATTGCCCCATTGTGTAGAGAACAAAAGGAGGACAATGGCCGGGAAGGATTGCGCGGGTGGCGTGGCGACCAATTATTTCAAATTACCTCTGCCATCTTATTGTCTTGTTTCGCATCGGGACATACTTTGTATTCGTCGTTTCTCCGTTCTAACGGATTACCTACAGTTATCAAAATGATGGACTACGTACAGTCTCTAGATTCCATTCCTGAAATCTCGAAATCTCCTCCTCAGCTCCCTTTACGGCCGTATGATAAGTCAGGCTATCCAAGTCAATGCTATTAAAACTATCGGATCCCGTCTCAGCCATTGCCTTAAATTCCAAAAGTGTAAGTTCAATCTGCAAATATTTAATATGAATGAAAGAGTAGACTCGCAGAGATCCAAAGACTCACAATAGCAATGGCACATGCTATGTCTTGAGTCGAAGCTGCGTGAAAAGGATCAACATCCCCAGACCTAGCCTTCGAGGCACCACGGCATACAGCTGAGGTTACACCATGCAGAACAGGATCTCCAAGTCTACTCCAGTGCTAGACGATACAAGTAAGTCATAGCAGACGCAACAAAAAAAGACAACATACCTTGTCATGATAGTTACCCAAGTACGGCTTTTGCTCAATCAGTTCCATTATTCGAGAAAGCATAACATCAGAATTCTCTCCAACCGCAAGACGATAATGATATAACACCAAGCGATGGCAACGCTCCGCAGCAAGCTGCTCTCTCTCCCGCCGAATGAGCACCGGGACAGGAGACCGAAGCGCAGACATCTCAGGCTCTAACGGTATGAGCCCCATCACACCATGGAAGAGCCGGCTCAGCCGATAAAAATGCTCAATGTCCTCCGTAGACAGACTAAACTTGCTTCGAGTAAAATTCCTGCCGTAATGCGAACGATCAACGTAACCAGAATGATCAGCTTGCGCATGGACAGCACTCTGCTCCGGGACAAGGAAAAGACCACCGAAATATTTATTCTTGATGGACGAGAAGATTTGCCGGAGGTCAAGTGTGTTGGCGTACATGCCAAAGTGTTTTCCGAGATGATCTCTAATGATATTGTCGAGCTGAGCGCCCGAGTATGGGTATCCGTGAGTGTCGAGGTAAATACGAGTCTGGAGAAAACCCGGTAGCTTTACCGAACCACGAGCCATCAGTAATCGCGTCTTCAAAGGCCGAACGAATATCAAAAAAACGATGAGAAGCTGGGCCACGACTGAGGGAAGAAAATGTACACTGCCAGACTTTTCCCCTTGTTTCCGTGGGTTCTTGCTTGGCGAAAAGGCGACCACCAGGTCTCGGTTCAGGAGGAAAAGGTGTCGATCATGGTCGGCGATTGAGCTATTAAACTCAAGCTGCGCAATTTGCTGGCTTCGCGGGTTGATGCCACCCGTTATAGCATGAAGAGTAACAAGCACGCCGACGAGTTCCTCCTCCAATCGGAGCCAATCGCGAACACGACTTCCATCGATCCTCTTCGGTCCATCATGGAAAACGTATGCTTGAAGCTTTTCCCAGATCACCTCAACAATGGATGCTGTAGCACTACGACTGGTAATTGATGCGATGAAAGATACCGGCACGCAAGGATTGTCCTCGAGGCCAAGAACGTCGAATGTCATAACCAGGTCAATACTTTCTGGATCATCAAGCATGAGCTTCTCGAGTACTCGATGTACTGACTTGACCAAGCTCCATGTTCCATCCTTGAAGCGGTTTACGTCGACTTCGATGGTGCGTGCCTTGCGATGCAGTGTGAAGGAATGACCATTGGGTTCCCAAACTGACTGCGTAGGGGGCGGACATTGCAGCTTCCCGACATGAGCAGCATGCCAGGCCACCCGCACACGAGAGAAGGAAGTGGATTGTTCTACAGTGTCATCCGAGCGATTGTGTGCAATGAAGACTTTCAGTGACTGGAGCATCCTATGGGGGGATGTAAGAACAGGATAAAATAGGCCAAGAACAACATAGACGTACGAAGGAACGGGGTCAGCCCGAAGTTTACCAATATCTTTATCATCATCATCGTCTTCAAAATTACCTTCGTCTTCCTCCTCGACAATCACAGAATCTAGCTAAGATGGTTATCCAGTTAGTCACTACGTCAAACTGTAATAAACACCAACTTACCGAGACTGAATTATTATCCTCAAAAGGCACATAGACAGCCTTACTGTCTCCCAGCCGAACGATATGAACCGCTATGCACCGAAGCACGTATTGCCATGACGCACACACACCAGTGAACTGACCAGGACTCGCGAATGGAGAATCTCCTTCCAGCATCCCCGTCCTCCGTCGACGAAAAGCACCAAAAAACAAGACGTAGTCGATAGCGGTCGACCACCGTTTCTCTATCGACGGCTGGGCCATGAGGACCGCCTTGAGAAGGTTGTAAGTCTTTTGGTGAAGAGTACCAAGGTCGAGGTCGTTGCCAGACTCAGTTATATAGCGGTACAGCCGCTTCGTTGCCTTACGCTCCTGGGGATCGAGTTTGAGCTTGAAGGGAAGAGGCATACCAGCCTTCTTGAGAACAGTCGCACGAAGGAGGAGAATGAAAAGGCCCATAACAATACCTGCATACGCTGAGGGATACTTTAGATTCCGAAATTGAGAAGACCTAAAGAGAAAAGAATGAGAATCAGCAGCGTGAATTTTGGACGAGACGTACGGGGTGCCGATCTCATCCCGTAGCTGGGGGTGTGCAGAATCAAGGTAGCGGTTCGCGTCCTTGATGAAGGTCGTGAGAAATAGATATATGTGCCGTAGGGCATTTTCAACTAGGACTTCATTCGGAAGTGGAGGAGATCTTGTCTCATACAGACTAGGGAGTATCACTAGCGAGAAGAGTTCGTTTTGCGATAAACCCTTGAGGGCATGCTGTAACATCGACGGATACCCTAACTGCTCTAACCATTCCGCATAGACCGGAGTAGGGGTGGAGACGCCAACCGTCGAAGGTTTAAGCGACGGCAGGACCTGAACACATTGGTATGCAGGACCAGACTGAGGAGGAGGAGTATAACCGTGAAGAACAATTTTGGAATGCAAACGTTTTCCTCCGCATGATGGGCCTGATACCTGGGCATAAAAGTATTCATTGGGGTCTGGATGCCGATCAGACGAGGTCGTTCGACGACCGTGCCTCTGCTTGATATGGTCGGAGCGCGGTGCTATAACCTTTTCCACTCCTTTGGGAGACAATGACGAAGTGATGATATGGCTACAGTCAGGACAGCGCAGAGCACGACGAGGTGGGGAGAGATATGGTATCGGGGCTGTGGCCCGGAAATCTTCGTTCCAGGATTTAGTGACGGGGACGTTGAAAGCCTCAGCGATATGCTGAACGAAATGGTCCATGAGCTTTTTTGTATGACGCACGTCTGGAAGTGCGACTGTGGATTTTTGGTCTTCTGAGATTAGAATAGTCCGCTGAAGAAGATTATGGTGGTTTCGGAGGATGTGAGTGGTAAGCTCGCCGAGGGGCACGAGCAGCTCGTGTGTGGGGCAAATAAATGCTTTTAGCCCGCGATGGAAGGCGATGCCGAACCATGGTAGCAAAGCACATGAATAGATAATGAGCCAATGCAGTGGATGGTGAGGGTGGACGCTGGGTAGAGGATGCACTACATGTCCACATCGGTATTCACCGACCGCATACACCTCGTGTGATTTGCATACTAATACAGCATTTGGATCCGGATCGAGCCTTGGTATGGCTGTATCTGAAGGGCTCGAATAAGGCAGACGCCAATCGTCTAATACACATCGTCAGAAGATTAGGAGTAGAAATTAAACTAAAGAGTATACCTGGCAGCGACGGAACCAGGACACAAAGCAACTTCCGACGTTTTTTAGGTCTTCTGACATCAGTGAAAGCATCGAACGTGGTAGGACCAGAATCCCTGTCTGCAGCCAAATATTTACGCTTGGCCCCTGGAAATATTATTAACAGAAGATGCGTTGCAGGACAAGAAGGCACCGACCTCGTTTTTTGGTCATGATGAGAGGTCGTTGAAGATAGGGTTTGTTCTCCATTTTCTAAGCCCTCATACTTAAGCGACACCCTAACGACGCTCTGTGGCTGATCCTGTCGTATGGCGCGTGTGGGTCCCCGCTCCATTGTCCCGGACAGGAAACGCCGTCGGTTCGTATCCTTTTTCTGGGTGTTCGTGCAACAAGGCGGGCTCAATCTGGTCCTCCCACGCCGAGACTGTCGGTTCAAAGGGTATACACTGTTCATGGCATCTTGGGAGGGAAACACGAATAGGAAAACTGTGGTGGCTGATGTGAACAAATTGAACAGACAATGCGCAATACACAATGCACAATGCGACGTCAACTGTCCCGCCACCTCTTGATAACAATGATCTCGCAGCAACATACGCACCGAGACCGTCGAAGCCACGTCATGACTACTTACAGACTGTCATGGTCAATGGTGCTACGGGAGGATGTCGAACGTTGCCGCCAGCTACATTTGCACGATTCAAAGAATTATCAAGTACAGATAAATAGCAACACACCCTTGCAGAACAGGACAGAGGAGAATCGATGCATTGTTCCTGTATCGGAGAGCACGATTGCCACTCCAGATTGACGTGAGAGACGCTTCGAGCGGTTGCACGATTACTATCTCGACTGACTCTCTCGGAGTCTCGGTTTCGAAAAAAATAACTTCTTTGAACTTCCATGACACGTCGACACGTCATACGGCTTCAAGAGTTGCTGAGGATATTAGGCGATTTGGTTGGCTTGAGCCTTGCAGCTGTGGAAAATACTGGAAAATAATAATGAGAGCAGATGGCACGTGAAATACGATTTCAAATTTGAATAGGAGACTAAGGAGTTGCCCAGTCTTGGCTTCTACCATCACCTATACTCTTTCGCAACATTTTCAGTACAACATACCAGCGGCAATGGCGAATCGCGTTTGTGGATGTTCTCTAGATGGTGCCGCCATCCTGCGCTATGGTGTCAGCAATGGCTGGGGGACCGATGACGATGGTGAACAGTGCGTCAGGACGATGATGACGACCCTGTTTTCGGTTCCAGAAGGATTTGCAGCTCCGTACGAAAATTTGTAGTGCCAAAGAACCTGTCCAGCCTCACGCCAACATCAACCTGTGCATCACTGTCGCATCTACGGATCCTAAGGACTCTTTCCCTTTGCCCCCGAATGACTACCCAGGCCTCATCAAGTTGCACGAGAGAATCAACACTATGAATCCGCCAAGGTGGAGTGCGTTTATTAGCTGGCGTAGCTATCACGGTATGTCTGCTTTCCAGTTTCAGTGTATTGACGACGGGAACGTCGGTTGGTTAGTAGTTACTTTATCGCCACAACTATTGCAACTTCTATCTGTTTGTTACCACATATCTGTAGGTTCCGACGCTAGGCTGTAGTATCTATTCAATGCTATGCCGTATTTTCCTCACCGACCTACAAGTCAAAAAGCAAATGACAATTGAGAAGACACCCTTTTCGAGCAGCCACTTTCAGCACAACTGGTACGCGCAGTGGATTGAAATCCAAAGCGTAAATAGAGGCGGAAGGTGAACGTGCAACGTGTTTGTGTAACCCTGAAGTTGCAGCCATCTGATTGTGAAAATCTAAAGGATTATACTCAGTTCAGTGACCAATGATTAATTGACTGCTGACAGGCTATGAAACAACGATGTACCACGTTCAAGAGTAAAATATTTACTTGACTGTTCCAGAAGGCCGGCCGACAACAAGGTATCCCAACGGCACCTTGAAGGAGAGGCGTTCGGTTTCGAGAGCGCTGACAGCCTCTTCAACGACGGATTTGGAAAAGGAATTACTTTCACCCATCTTCAAGATTCAAGCCCAAGCTTCAAGGCCTCATTCTTCAGACATCGTGCGGTCGCCGGGAATCATCTTACAAAAGGCAGGCAACGACGGAGACGGGAATCGTCTGATATCGAAAAGGGTGGACATATCGTAGACCGGTGAACAATACGTCTCTTTCCTTGCAGCTGTTGCCGATGATAATTACATCGAGGCCGGGACGCCCTTGGAACACTTCGTTCACCTGAACAACCAGAAAAGTAAGTCATTGTCTTGTTCTCTAACCTCTTCATGTGAACTCCGCCCTAATGACATTATCAGCAGGGATTTAATGTGTACAATGGTACTACAGTCGTACAAATTCTTTAAGTGATATATCAGCCTCTCCATAAAGGCCTGACCACTTTCAAAACGATCTCTCTGGCGCTCTCCAGTTCATCGCTTAATTTCTGATCGCTAACACTTTCCAACAGACCTCTTTTCTCCCACCTCTGTTCCCTGAAGGCCTTATACATCCTCTCTAACAACTCCCAGTACCCGTTACTTCCCAGTTCTGTTTCTACAGCCGCGAAAAACTTGTCAACCCGCTTCTTCGTAATATCTCTCGGCCCGAAAGTCGATAGGTCGTTCAGCACTGGCCAAGGAATATCCTTGAACGTCAGGGCCTTTCCCTTCCGAGAAAATTGCGCTTCCTCAAACTCGTCCATGCAGTTTCGAGCTCTTTGTATGGCCTTCTTGTTCGGCCAACCATCCTCATGACTATCCTTGCTCTCCCTCCCAAGTAGACGGTGTCGATCTGCCGTCGACATACCCTGGAGTAGCGTGTCTAATGTTGTGCGAAGCCGTCGAAACTCTTCGTCCCTCCCCTCCGACTTGGTTCTCATCTGCGCGAGATCAGACTTCAGCGCTGCTACCTCTGCGGACAGCTTCTTCTCATTGATACCCACAGCAAGCTTCTCTTCCAGCGCAGCAACTTTGGAATCCGAGCCTTTTATCCGCTTCTCCACCAATGCTTTGTCTGCCATACTTGCAGAAAGCTTGACCTCCAAATCCAGCTGACGTGTGTCTGAATCCATGACTGTTCCTCTTAGAACCTTGTTTCGCTCCTTGAGCTCGTCGATCCTAGCATGAAGAACCTTGACCAAGCTGTCCTTGGTAGCTTTCTCCGACTCGCTGCGCTCCAACACCTCCCTCTTCTTCTGCTCCTCTGAATCTCGCACCGACTCCAATATTTCCAACTGCAGACCTTTCTCTCGAAGCGCTTCTTCTAGCCGCTTGACCTCACTCGTCAATTCGCCACACTCCTGCTGATATGTTTCCTTTGTCATCATCAGCTGGCGGTCCTTCTCCTCAACCAGCTTGTTTCTCATCTCGAGGTTGAGATCCATATCATGCAGTTCTTCCTTCATGTCATCAATAATGCATTGAAGCGTACTGGACTTCTGAGCGTATTGTTCTTCTTGGGCAGCCAGGGATTCTTCAAGTTTCTGGCATAAACTTGCGGATGCTTTGGACGCGTCTTCCAGTTGGAGTTTGTACAACTCCGATTGTTCGAGATGACGGGCATGAGCAACAGAGAGTTCCTCACGAAGAGCATTGATCTTCTTTTCGGATTCCCTTGTCATCGCTTCCTGCTGTAGAACCCTTTCTTCAAGGAGACACTGCAAATCCTGGATTTGAGCTTTCAGCTGACAGACACGCCATTTCATCAGTGTTTGTAAAGAATCGTTGAAACGAGGACTTGCCTGCTCATCGGTTTTCTTCGGCATGTATCCTACAGTAATTGCGGCGCCGACTATGGAATAAAATGTAGGATTACATATTACTCGTAGAGCCGTAGCGGCTTCGGAAGAATTAACACAATATATAGAATTGTAGCAGAAAGAAATTACCTTCGCCTGCAGTTGCGAATCTTATTGTTGTCGTTGAGGAAACGTTCAGTCTGTAAGAGTAACTGATAAACACACAAGCATGTGTCAACAGCCTTCCTCGAGCTCACCCTGTTATCACACCGACTCGGAACTGCAAAATGGACATCGGTACATTAGAACACGCGCAGGGAGAATTAATGAAAGAAACTTACCATCCTGAGGTGTTGGTACAATCTTATAGTGAGTCCCACACCTTGAAATTTATCCTATACACATGTAAATGAGAGATGATGCTGAATGGAATTAAGAAATGCTCTTACTGGTATATTGAGGGATAACACGCAAGGATCATAGTATTCCGTCAAAGAAACATTGTCGCTAATACCCTCATTCCATCGTATCAGAGCACCAGAAAGGGCCTGTGAGTCCGGATTCGCTGCATCCTTCAGTGTCGGGCGACCTGGACAGGATAAGGCTGCCATGCTCATGCCCAACTGGATTCTGGTCGTAGACCGTGTCAGTGACAGTCTTCCAGAGGAAGTGGGAGCGGGATCTGATTCCGAGTTCATCTTGCGTTAGATTTCCTGGTCGGGTTGAGTAAACGCGTTAGATGAAAGGGAACGGCACCGAGAGTACTCCCTGTAATCGGATAACGGCCCGATGTCCGACCATAGCACTTACCGTAATGACTGAATCTATGACGCGTGCTGTAGTCTGCATTTGGCAGCGTTTTACTACCTCCATCTGGTTTTCACTATCGCAGAGCGCTCGAAAAACAGCGGAATCTCTCAGTGGCGACGAAGCTAGCACCAGCGCGGTCTCGTAGGGCTGCCGGATGCTGGGACTCCGACCTATTTCTGATTCAGCTAAACTGTGCCCGCAGCTCCAGCCGCCTATTACGAAGCGTGTTTCGCATTTGGGCGATCGCCGACCGCCTATAATATATATGTGTGCTTGAACAACCAGATGACTCCAATGGCTATGTACTCTTTTGATACCGACGAAACCTTGAGCGTCTTTGGGCTGCCAACTGAAGCGACCAGTTCGATAACATACGTCAACTGGGCCCACGTTCCGGAGTGGATCAAGGAAGTACTGGATGATAGTTGGTGCGTGACGGATGGGCGCGTCGGTGTGGGGGAGGCGAATGCGCACACGCTTTGGTATCTCAACCGTCAAGGCTGTTCCTCGCCGAGACTGAGGATCACGGTCTACGTCCAGTCACCGATGGATGCCAACGGGGTCTTGGACATGGCTGCTGCCAGACAAGCAACACGTCGGTGTCTTGCAAGTATTATCCAAAGCACCGACGCCCCTCTCCAGTTCGTATGGACATGCGCAGAGCTTGACGAGTTCGGCGAGTATTCCGTGCGGTATACACGTGGTGGCAGATGTATCGTTGTTGCTGCAGGTCAAACCGTTGTCGAGATATGGAACAGGGATAACTCGATGGCGGTGGAGAGTTTCGAGGATTGCGCTCGCAAACTCCTGGAACATACCATTCGCAGGGAATCGGATGGTCTACCCCTTACTGCCCCTATCATCAAACGTGGTCCACTCGCTACCGGAAGTCATGACGAGCATCCGAGCAAAATCGTGGTCCAAAACGATGGCCGATTTTCGCTCGACTTTGAGCTAGATAAGCCCATCGCTGCTGCCAATGCTACTACCGAAGGATACGGTTATATGTTTGAGAGGTATGTTCAGGAGGTTACAGAAGATTTAGTCACTGTCAAGCTCATAATGGTGGCACGATACGCTGGGAGTCATGTGGTGACAGTGCACTTCGCAGATTCGGAGACGATGATATCGCGATCGCAAAAGTTTGAGATTGAGGTTGAGATTGTTGAATGAGGGGGGTACTAGATGTCTGTACTATCACGATGGTTCCAAATCAGTACACAGATCTGAAACCGAGAGCGATTTGCTTACACATATCTCTGGTGAATTCAGAGGATACCGCTGTAACCTGCGAATTGTGACAAGGACTTGACATTCAACACTCAGTCCATAGTGCCTGAAAACTTGTGCGAGGAAGAGTTATGTCGCGTATAATGGTCGATGGATTCAAGAATTACCTAGGAAATTGGCTTCTTTCAGATTTCATGTTATCTTTCTAGTGAGCTAACGGTGGGGAGTACGGGGTCGGGGTCAAAGCGAATATCCAAATTCATGAGTCAACACGAGTATGCCACTAATTTTGTTCCTAGTACTAGGTTATTAGGCCTACAACCACAAGCATGAACTGACGATACACGTTTCCTCTGCCAGAGGACTCACTAAATCCCCAGCATCAGTTATCTGCGTCACCGATGCAATCGTGTCTAGAGCTTTAACTGTAGATTCCACGTGGAAAACATTCCTAACGTACATCATCTTCCCCTGCTCTCCATACACGAGACGCACAGACAACTTTCCTTCCACCCTCTCCCACTCCGTAACGGGAAAAAAATTCCTCGTGGAAAGGTTACGCTTCATGTCTTGAAGGACATTCCCAGTTCAACCGATCGGATCACAAATCCTATCACCATCCATTAACAAGTCACAGGGCAAGCAAAATAAACTCACGATGGAGATATCAAGAACACATATGGGATAAGCGTAGTGCTATACCTCTTCGCGTCCTCCCAGGACTTCCAATAATCGCGCGCGCCGCTGGGAGATAACCTAACCGTAGGCGAACCGTACTTGGGATTGCTAGTTCTTCTGGCCATATTGTCAACAGCGATAACGAGGGCGGCGGATGGGAGAAGTAATCGAAGAAAGACATGGCTAGTGCCGTGAGCTGGATGTATGCACGCGATAATGGACTGCTACGTACCCTGAAGAGGTTCGAGAATAACCCTGTATTTTCCTTGGTGAATCCTGTTCACGAGATCGGTCTTTTGCACGTTGCTGCAAGCATCAACGGCTACTGCCAATCAGAACGAGTAGCGCGTGTCGTTGAACCCTGAACCCTCTATAGTGACGAGCAATTCCTCTTGGCCCCGGGTTGCCTATATAATGGTTAACAATGTTCCAAGGTAACGGATAGTGAATCACCTTCAGGTCTCGAGGTAACGCGATGCAGCAAAGGGGGTCGTCCATGTTTGCTGGGTTCGAGGTCGAGGTCGAGCACCTTGAAAGCTATGCAAAAGGCCACTTGCAGCCATGCTGGACCATACTAGATGTCTTGGACATCGAAGAAAGGACCTTGAGTTACGAATTGACGCTAGCCTTTGTGGATGTTGGTGTTGAAGCTGAGTTTGTCGATCGCGTCTACTGGCACGTGATTCTCAGGCTCTTAGCATCGACCTGCTAGCCTGGAACCCGGGGCGGGGGTAACCCCCGTAGTCGACAAAACTGCCCAAGTTTCAAACTCCGAGCACTTGCCGATTCGCAGCCATCCACGTGCAACCGTGTACCGCGTTCGCGTCGTTGATTTTTGCTTCCGTCTTCACCTCCACTTCATGTGTGAGAGTGCCAATGCGCTAACGGAAGGCCTGTCAACGCCACAAGGGGTAGAAGTGGGTAGAAGAAATGGGCCATGATGAAGAGGGGTTGCTGGGATATTAGCGTACTGAGAGGGCGTAAATGGGATACAGGATGCAGTGGCATCATCATCAGAGCTTGATACATCTGTTGGGGTATTCGGAGGCTCATATTCCCCCTCCATGGGCAATTGAGGTGCGTTGAAGGAATATCTCACAAAATTTCATTAAGATATAGCATGTGTCATCAGTATTGACAACATGCCGCTCTTGCGGCATGCATCGGAGTATCAAATTTGGACAGTTTTGTCGCCCACGGAGGTTACCCCCGCCCCGGGTACCAGGCTTTATCCACAGTTACGAGTACCGCGAGTATCTATAAAGCCAGCTTGCCAGGCTATCGACCTGCATCGACTCGGACCAGCATCTCAAGATTCCCTTCAATTTGAGGCGCATTGACTATCGACGATACAATGCAGCTGCATATCACATAGATAAATTCATTGTCGACATCGACGCCTTTGCTTGTAGGCTCGTTCTGGTGCCTTCTGGGAGTCGGAAAAGTGATATTTGGTACGTGAAGCTGCATAGTGTTCGTGACAAATCTAACTTGTATATGTCAGGTTCAATACCCGAGATAGCTTAATATATACGGACGCCTTCTTCAACCTCTTCACCTCCATTCCCGACTTTTCTAGGGTCACCATGCCTCCCAAAAACAGCCAGTCAAGCAGCTCTGCTCTTTGCAAAAATTTCCAGAACGCTCCCACTAACCCTACCCATATCTTATCTGCCGATATACCTCCTCACTTGGTCGACTTTTATCAAGTACCTGTCGAGAACGATATCATAGCCGGCGTGGAGTGGATCTATTGCCTATGGACACTTTTACATCGCACAGCTCCTCCTTCGTATCGTGCCTTCAAAGAGCTCGATTCAACAGCTAGAGAGCTACACACTCTTCTCACACAATTCCGTTCCTGGGATAGGTGTACCACCTTCAAGCTGTGAGCCTGAAATCCAAACCGCCTTCCCTTGCCAGACTAACGCGAATCACCTGCAGTATCATTAGGTCGCATGTTCGAACCAAAGCACTCCACACTATCTACGACATTCTCGAATGTCAAGGTTACCTCGAGAGCACCTGCCCTGGGCTCATCGACGATATTCTCCAGGAAATCATGGCCTGCGGCTCGGACAGTGTAGCTTTCAGTGCTGATCTTCGTCGTCGATACAAGATAGCTGCGCCAATGTTGGAGAACAAGATGTGGGCATTGCAAAAAGTGGTCATTAAACAGCATAAAGTCAGTCAACTCTTCTTCATGCAATCATGCGATACACCTTTACTCACCAATCCATCACCAGGATTTCAACCTTAAGAATCACGTTAGATTCCTCAATTACCTCTACCTGTGTGCATTGACAATAGCTCTTCTGTGCGCGCTTTTGGCGTTTGCTTCGAGGTTCCTTGATATAGATCACGATTCTCTGTTTGTTTGCCTTTTGTTTCTATTTCTGTCATTTGGTTCTATACTGGCGATAAGGAGTAAGTCTTTTGCTAATGCAAATGATCGTAACTCATCTCCTAGAAGCAGCGCGAATTCTTATGCGTGCAGAGCTGTCTCTTAGGCAGACGCTCTGAACACCGACGCATTCAAGCTCATTTGAGCTGTGAGGAGCATGGTAGGGCTGCTGACCCACATTGCAGACTCCAAAGATTCACCGCTTTTGCATGTATCACATGCAAAACGATTCCTAGAGGCGTTCCAAACTTCGGTATGTCATATTTCTGCTCGTGTCGCTTTTCGTTGTTGACGTAACCAATTACCTTCAAGTTTTTGGGAGGACGTTCAGTTTATCAGGTCTTCGCGGTAGAATTTAGCTGGAATGACTGTGAACATGGTGACACTGGAGATATACAACCCACCAATATGCCCTGTCAACTCGTATTCGATATCCTCGGAGTAGCTTTTCTTGTATTCCTCAATTGCGTCCACACTAAGGCCATTCGGAAGTGTTTCCTTGCAACCGTAATAGGAACATGCCGACATCTTCATCTCAGGAACAAACATCGCCCTGTCCTTACAAAAACGAAGGCCAGCAGTACTTCTCCCAGCTCTCGTCTTCAAGATTTAGGGGATGGCCTCTACTCTAGATTGGACACGAGGATTATACATAACAAATGGACGCGCCAACGACAGTCTATGTATAGCCTGTTCTTAGAGCTCTGTGTGTAGTTCAATACATCATATGTTGCGAGTATTGATAAAATTTGGAGACTGAAGCTTTACAGAAGATTTTTACAAGTGTCCTACACCAATGCTTCCTGGACCGATTGCGGGTTGAATACATGTAATCTTCGTCATCAATTTCATTCCTGCCTAAAGCGCCTTCTTGTTCTAATCCGCAGAATGATCTGCGCAATTCCCACCTCTCAATGGCAGATGTAACATTGGGCCAGTCTGTTATTAGACAGTCGCCCTCGTAGACGCCAGCAGTTTTTGTGATGGTGAAAAGCACTTCCTATTTCATTATAGGATTTCAATCAAAAGGGAGAGCTTCAACCCCAAAATAGAAGCACAGAGCGTACTGACAGCTTTGCGAAGCACCGTAAAAGGTACAACCACTTCGCTCTTTGCTTAACCACAGTCACTCACTCCTTCATCTTTCTGGCCCTGAGTCCTCCACGCTTGCTCCTTTACTACGTCCATCCCTGGTAAGCCGACCATCCTTATCCCAGCCTTCCCTTGGTATCAGCTGCTATGGAGACTTTAGTCAATGCATCTTTGCCGCCAAAGCCAAATTCAAACCGTTGTTCTCTTTCATCGTGTTTTTAGGCTTTCTATCGCCTTTCGTCCTTGGATATATGTACTCACCATTTTCTGTAGTGATCTGCGTGTGTTTGTTGTCAACTCCTCAAACACTGTCCATCCCGTAATCGTTCCTGTATCCAAGAGGATCCCTGTGTCTGAGAACAGTACGTCCAATCTAGCTCCAATGCTGGCCAAACTTGCTGAGTTGTCATTAGTTGCCGTTATTACTGTTGTGGGAGCCCCCGACAATCCTAGAAACCAGAAGGTATGCTGTTTTAAAGCATACCGACTCTTCATTCATAGCCACTGCTGTGACAGTATTCAAGCTGATTACTCGAACTTCGTGATCTGAAATTTGTCTAATCCCGATACCAACTATAATGTCGGTTCTTATCATATTATCCGACAGTCATGAAGAGCTCACTTGCTTTATAGATGTTCGATTATTCTGTCCACGTGCAAATCCTCAACAGGACTGGTGAAGTCCTACGTCTCCTAGATTCGCCCGCGCTACATGGGCATTGGGTTAATATCCCAGATACAATTGATTCCCAATCAAACTCACAGTTTCAGCTGAAAGATCCCGTGTGGCGCACTGGATCCGAGGGACATCTGGACTTCGCGATTCAACGCGTGTCCCAAAACGGACCACTGCCAAGATCGGGCCTGTCAGCTTACTTCAAGTGCCGATACCCCACTGCCCACTGTAACAAGGTTGAAGTTGATTTAGTTACTCCCAAGGCCCTCTACGCTGTCTCTTTCCGTACCTCGGTTGGAAAAAGCAATCGGTGGATTGAAGGGGGGGTCAGTGACAAAGGCCATCCGGTGCATGTGCGAATAA